GAATTGACCATTAGAATTAGACTTGAAAAAATAATTCCTTTAGGATATTCAATGAATATCCTAACAAAAACTATCACAACATAAACGCAAATTAAAGAAAATGGTGAAAAATAATGTGCAGTAAAAATTAACGCAAATAGTAGACTTTGATTGCATATTGAGAGCTGAGGTTCATCTACTGCTGAGTAAATTAATGCTCAGAAATTATACAATGTTTAAAACAGTAATTATATCTCCAAGTGACGTAGTAAAGAGTAAGCTCAAGGTGTTCCATGAACTTTATGTTATCATGTCATTCAAAGTAACACTGGAGTCAACTATCGGATGCGAACCCTGATTTTTTCAAGATGAATGCTCTTTCAAATGTTTTCTATGCTGAATTTCCGCATTAGGTTGTAGAGTGACTGTACCCTCGGAGAGATGATATTTTGATGAATGTCACCTGGAGTGTTGTATTTGTATGGAAGTTATATACTTTTAACGGTTTCCAGTGGTCTGGAATTTAACCCCAATTCGGATGAATGACTGAATATGCTATGAAATAAAACTTCTATCTAATTTCTGTATGTTATTCTTAGGTGAACCCCGTCTGTGCGCTGCTGGTTATAAGATGCCAAATACTGATTCATTTAGATGAGTTTATTTCGTGCGACAGTTCGCGTTGACAGTTATGTGACCGAAATCAATATGATGAGATGAGATGAGATGAGGTGATGACTAAGTTTCGTAGTCAGACAAAAACAAGCTAGACATTAGATAAGCGAAGTAAGCAATGCATACACACTGATGAAAACAACCATGATGTAAGCGAATAATTGACAAGATCAAAAGATATGTGAATAATAACTGAAGAAGAATGGATTAGTTAATTTTTCCAAAGGCTAGGACAATCCATATGTGCTTGACATATTAGTACACACACTACAAGTTCCGAACACTCGTTGCCATTGGAACTTCGATGTTGTTGTTCACTCTGTCAACCATTAAAATAAATTTCATACTCCACGTCACTTATCTCTCTTACTCACTGCCCTTCGAGAAATATCGGTTAACTTAGCATAAGTACTTACAGAAGTACTTGACATAATATTACTAGTGAACAAATATAAAGAAGAATTAGTGCAGCTACAAAACGATGAATTTTCAAAACCGACCAAACGCTAGCCGTAGGTTGATAGTTAAACAGACCTGCACAGAGATTAGTCTAAATATGGAAAAACCATAAGTAGCTTTAGGTCATTCAGTGTTTTCGAAAACATATAAAACTCATTGGAGCACACATATGACTTAATCAAGCTAGTCTGCTAACACTTCACCGAACCGAGGCATTTCAAATATAGAATGACTGTCTTCAAGCAAGCTACTCAACGCCATTGAAACGATAAAATGCTAACTATAATCACTTGTTAACTTCCTCCCTGTGCCGACGATTGATCCCATTTAGATTTGGAATATAAATAAAATTTTCACCGACAGAATATATGCACATGATAAACACGGTTAAATGCTATGGGTGATTGAAAGAAATTATCGTGCAAGTCACTCGTTCCTTATTAGGCAAGACATGACTGTAATTATCATTATTAATATTATTACTATCGACAAACAACATATCCGAGCATAAACACTGTAAAGAAACAATTATCATTATCATCAACAATGCAGCCATACATAAGATTTTCAACAATCTTTACATAGTGTTCGGAAAATTCAAACAGGTTATGTTGAATTTGGAATAATGTCACATTAGCGTTAAAAAGCATGTTTGCATGATAAAATGACTACATTATTAAATACGATAAACTGCGTTATGTGTATCATACATAGAACTATATATAAATCATTATTGTAGCAAGATTTGATAGTAGAATAAGAGGTAAAGCAGGAATAATATTAAATGGTACAGCTAAAGTCTTAATTCCAAGCTAAGATCATAAAATATCATTCGCTAATGGTCATATATACGTGATGGAAATAAAGGAAATTCGAGAAGTCAATCTGTCTGTGCAAGCGTAATACAAGATTTTATGTTGTTCAATCAAAAATTCAAGAAGACCAACGTTGAAATATATTAGCTTTGTTAGGAGGTCAGTCCAATATCCAATATCTTTTTCACGAGCTAGTGTAAACCAATTTGATTTCTTCGCGCTCGATTCTTGTTCTTTCGGTACGGTTCCAGGTGTTCGGTAATGTTCAAGGGATGGAGGTCTAGCCTCTCGACTGCCTAATTCTAGTCAGTTGGAAGTTGGTTGTGAGTTTGTATGTCTCTGGATTCGAATGAAAACGTTCGTTTCAGGGCAGTAGGGTTTCTGGATACCAGGAGCCATCACATTACCAGACCGGATATCAATTAGTTGCAATGTGGAGAGTAATAGGGTAATAATAAAATAATAGTGATAAAATTCTAAGGATAATATGAATAAAATTTCAGAACTGAGTAATACGTAGATGAATTTAGTTTGTTAATTGGTAGTGAAGGTTTTGAGAGAGGACCTTATTGTAAGCAAGGGAGAGGAAACAGAGATAATAGGCGAGATAGATCAATTGAGTGATTTTAGGAGATGGCAATGATAACAACTAGCATGTCTCAAGATATACATCATGAACAACTTGTCCAAGAGGGAGATGATAGTCCGTATGTGAGTATGTGATTATCAAGTCTCTTCTTAAAGCAGTCCACTGAGGGGGCTGTGGTTATCTCGGCTGGGAGAGCATTACAAGTTGCGACGACTCGCAACGAGAAAAAGTGTGCACGAATCTGAGTGTTCGCTCTTTGATGTGCAATCTTTCGAGGATTGCCTCGAGGGGAGTGGTGGTGATGCATCAGTAAGATGCTCACACTGGGATGGTTTGGCGTGTTTAATATGGTGTACTCCATAATCAGATCGCCTCTGATTCTCCTGTAGCTCAGTGTAAATAATCCCAAGAGCTGGAGTCTATCCTCGTGGGGTTTATTTTTCAACCCTATCACCCATTTGGTTGCTCGCCTTAAACAGGATTAGAAATAATTTCAGGGTGATAGCACCCAGCTGTCTTCGCATAAAGTAAAGAGTCGCCTTTGCCTTGGCTGCATCCCCTACATAGTTTGGACTCGTGTGGAGGCTTTCTGTGGTTATTAAATCAAGATCGCGCTCTGAGGAGACATTAGGGAGCGGACTTCCATTGAGAGTATAGGTCGTTTTCGTCATATGAGGCAGGAAATGCATGACGTGGCACTTCGGTTGGTTGAGTTTTAAACCGTTTTTCACTGCCAATTTCTCAACAGATTTGAGGTCCTTTTGAAGCTCAGTCGAATGCTCTTCGCTTCTAATGGACCTCCAGATCTTCGCATCGTCTGAGTAGACCAATGCCGGCGAGCTAACTGAGCTTAACAGGTCTTTAATAAATATCAGGAAGAGGATCGGGCCTAGGATGGTCCCTTGTGAAACTCTCGAAGTGGATGCTCTCCAACTCGCGTGCACTCTGTTTACCTTGGTGCGAAACTTTCTGCTCTCAAGGTAGTTTCTGAGCCAAGATAGGAGTGGGTCAGTGAAGCCCATTTCCACAAACTTTTCGAGTAGGCGTGCGTGGGGTACTGTGTCAAAGGCTTTTGCAAAGTCGAGAAATATTAAGTGCAACAGTATTTTACGGTCCAAACAGGATGTCCAACCGTCCCAAGCGATGAGAAGATTAGATGCACACGATAATAATGACGGTAAATATAAATACGAGCGCGATTAGGATACGTACATGAAAAGTGTAATGGTTGCACTATGTTTTACAGTCAGCTAAATAGTTACTAGACCTTGTTTGTGTGAATTATGGGTAATCACACTAGCGTTTAATATTCGGCGAATACTGCTTTTGCGGAGGAAGTCATTAGTAGGACTCATATGTAGTGGAATACTTTTACGAAGAGAACGTATTTGGTTGAAAGGAAACATTTATTATTGTATCCGATTGTATCAATGATTGTTTTATTGTACTCCTTGTAGATGTATTTTCTACCCTAGCAGTTCACTCCGATTCCAATGGGTGCAGGTTGGCACTCGACGTCCCAGACCGAAAACCAAAACACAATAATTCTGGGAGAAAACAGTCTTTATTCATTATGAAATGGAAATACAGACAATTACCCAACTATTATCACACCTTCCAAGTCCAATTTATCATGATGGGTATCCGTTTCTGGAAGAATAAGTGCTTCCAGTCCGAATTGCTACGGTATCAAATCCAAAAGTGGCTGTAGCCATATTAAATATCAAATTTAAACAACATATGTACAGTTCAGAAGCAAACATAAAAACTTCAATTTAAGTACAAGATATAGAAATAATAACAATATACAATGATCAAATCTCAAAATGGAATCAAATGGAGTACCAAAATGTCAACAGAAAGAGTCAGTCATATCATAACACAAATATATATACATGGAGGGATTTTCCAAAAACAAAACATTCAAAAAAGATTCTACACTCCTTTTGTTTAACTGTACTAAAAACCATCACTCACGCGCGCCACGTGACGCTACCATCACTCGGTTGCCTCGGTAGATTTGTCTGCAGTTGTTTCACTATCACGATGTCTTTTCGATATCACGAGATCATCAATCAATACATCTCGTCCTCCGATCACAGCCGGACTTTTGGCTTTAAAGGGAGTTAACTTGGTTATCTCACGTTAAGTAGCCCCAACTCGCTACACATGAAATGGGTCGCAGCTTTACTGCGAGAGAGTCCTTTTGTGTTCAAATGACGAACAACTTCCAAGTTTGTATAAGTTCCCAAAATCAATAACATGTTTCTATGATGGCGCAAGATCTGACATGGCGTTGTAGAATACGAAAGGATGAAAACCTTAAAGTAATAAATATAACTTATCAGCAGGTATATGAGAATGAAGCTCACTTTAATGCTTTAAATTTATGTGTTTTCAGGTTGTTAATATCTTTTGTGTTCATTATAACTGGAATACTCTGCAAGAAATATGGTAAATTTTCTAGTTTTCTTAATTTCCTTATGCCTTTAATCACTGTAAGCTAAATTACTATATTATAATGATGGGTATGTGTGGTGTTTGAATTAACTAGTGACTTCTTGTTGTTGTTGAATGCTTGATTTCAAATTCTAAATACAGTATATTCGTTTGTGCTCATCCCGTAGCTCTTGATTTACATACTTATAATTACCATATTGGCGTCGCGATGGAACTTGTAATGGAACAGTTAGATATTCATTCTACTTCTGAAGCTTTTGAAGATTATTTGGAAAGTTTTGAAACCTGGAGTATGACCAGGAAAGATGTCAATGATAAAATTGTGGCTCATTTCCCGACATTCATCGGAAAAGAAGCGTACATCTTATTAAAAACCTTGGCATATCCAGAAAAACCTATCTCACTTCCATATGCAATGCTTAAGGAGTTATTATTGAATCATGTAAGGTGCCCTGGTTTTGAATGCCGTGAAAGGGCGAAATTTCATGAGATGATTCGTCAAAATGACCAAAAGGTTCAAGAATTCATTCTTGAATTGCAGAAACAAGCTGTCAAATGTAATTTCGGTGATCAACTTCATGTGCAGCTGAGTGACCGATTAATTGCAGGAATTAACATACCTAGTTTGGAAAGAGAGCTGTTAAGAATGTCAAACTGTTCCTTTCAAGATGTTAGAACTGCGTACATTAACTACGAGGTGTTGAATGAACTTGATATTCAGTCGATGAAGATTTCCAATACTTTGATTAGTTGTCATGATAAAAAACAATCTCAGGGTCAATCAAAATTGTGTTCGTTTAACAGAGGTTCCTATTCTCGTGGTAATATGAACGGTGTTTCGATAAAGAATTACAAAGGAAATCACAAAGGTGGGACCAATTTCGGAAAATGTTTATCATGTGGAAAACTTCATTCTCGTAATTCATGTGCATTTCGCAATGCTAAATGTTTTAGATGTGGTAGGATAGGACACATTCAAGCAGTATGCAAAGCTACTGTTCATTTTGCCTCAAGTAGTACTAAATCTTGTAATTTAGATCCCAATAATTCAGCTGATCCTAATGATCATTTATCTTTGTCTACCATTTCGAAAGGTAATGCTCATATTCAAAAGCGATTATATACATCACTTGGTTCATGTCATGACTTTTTTGTAGACACAGGCAGTATAGAGTCCATTATTTCATTCAAGAACTTGAAATCGTTAGATCCGAACGTTGTGGTTCGACCCACTGAAGTATCAATATTGGGGATTACTGGACACAGACTGCCTATATGAGGATGTTGTGAACTGTTAATAAGAGATGATAATTCCTCATACATACCTTGTGAATTCTTAGTTAGCGAAACAGGACTGTCAATACTGGATTTAAAGAATTTGAAAAGACTTAAAGTGGAGTTGTCTTTCCTAGTTTCTAAAGAAAATTCTGCTGCTTTACTTAAAGATTTGATAGCCACGTGTGCTAAGTGCAGTGGAGGTATGAAAATGGTTCAGCACAGGAGTGCCAAACGAATTCAACATGTTGACTACATTTCTCGAAAGTCATTACAAGATAAACCTGTTAATACTTCAGAGTGTTTGTTGGTACAACCTTTACCAGATCTCATTAGAGAAACTCGTAGAAACTTTGGATGTATAATTATTGCTATACGGAAAGGTTGGAACGCTAATCTGAAACGTAGATTCCCTATCTATTTTTCAAAGCGGGATGAGCTATCCACTACTCCTGATGGTATTTTGTGTTTAAATGATCGGGTTGTTATTCCTCCTTCATTGCGTAAAGCTGTCCTGAAATATCTTCATGGTGGACATTTAGGTGTTGAGAAAATGAAGTCCTTGGCGAGGCTCATGTGTTGGTGGCCAGAGATAAATGCAGATATTTGTCTTACAGCAAACAATTGCGAAAAGTGTCATAAGCTGAAAAATCAGCATTCGAAGTGGATCGATTCTATTGCCGCCTCAACATTTAATGAGCTAAAGAGGGGAGTAGATACCTTTCTACTGCAATATAGAAATGCCAGACATTCGGTGACGAAAGAGACTCCATCAAAGCTATTAAAAAGAAGAATTCTTCGGTCGAATATGAGATGTTTGGAGTCTGCAGAAGTTACATATTATCGTGGCAACGATCTTCGACCATCCACGGGGATTGTTCTGAAGAATGTCGGGAAATCTATGGTTCGACTTCTAGATATCAATGACTTAAGTACACACAATCGACATGTTGATCAATTACAATTCCAGGAACCAGGTGGGTCTGTTCCAATTTCGACTGTTAATTCTAATACTAATGAGAGCATTCTAGATAATACAGAGCCTTTATCCAATACACTGTCGGGCAGACACAGGATGAATTTGAGATGACGTACAATTGATTACAGACACTTGGATTCCAATTTAAGCTGTGGCGGATGTGGTGTTTGAATTAACTAGTGACTTCTTGTTGTCGTTGGATGATTGATTTCGAATTCTAAATACAGTAAATTCGTTTGTGCTCATCCCGTAGATCTTGAGTCACACACTTCTAATTACCATAGTATGACGTGATTAATCTAGATTCGGTGTTGATTAAATTTATCAGGGTTGGTCGTATGAGTTTTTTTACTTTGGATACATAAGATACAATGTGTTCAGAACAGTTCAAATGGTTTAATTACCTCCACAAAACCATGAACAATGGTGATGGGTCTGAGCAAGTGTTCATGTGAAACCAAGTGTATCTCAGAACTGAGGCCACTGTAAGTAAGCCTACTTTCAGTGACATTCAGTAACAGATTCTTAATATATAGGCATCGGATCAAACGGATTTTATCAGACTTATTTATACTGCTAGACTAATAAATTTTGCATATGATGGTTAATTCTGCATTATGTGACTGCCTAATCTATGTGATCTTACACTGAAGGTACACCACTGTCCATCCTGTCTCAGCTTATTGTGCCAAACAGAAAAGCTATTTCTCAAGAAGTCAAAGTGATCACAAATTTGGTATAAAGATAGATCTACAGTCAACCTATATGCAGGGCTGACTCTTTTAGTTTCCATAATTTTTCCACGCCGATCGTCTATGACCTTCACTATTTTTTTATCCACCGCTTAATATTCTTTCATTCTACTATGACTGCTTATCCGTCAAACAGTGATAACCTGAGCTAATGATGATGCAGCCAACAAGATGAAGACTTCAAATGTTGGAATCAGGGGACTACGAACACCTCTTCAAACGAATTGAATGTGATTCTCGCACGTTATCTCAAATCGCTTATAAGAAGTAAGAAGACGAGATAGACCAGATTAACTAAATGTATTAGCTGACGATTTCGTGGTATCAAAGACATAATGAACATGCCAGAGAGCAAGCGCACAGAGTAGCCAAAGCACGATGGCGATGGGAAAGAGGAGTAGAAAGCGTGATTGCGGTCTAAGATCAGTATATATATATACGAAAAGGACTAAGGTCCTCGCGTAAAATAAAGGTACGGAAAAACAGGTATCTGATAATAACATCAGTGGTACAGTGGATTATAATAATTAGTTTTGCTATTTAACGGATTGTTTTTTCATAAAAGTGAAATCACGACAACAGCCGACCGCGTGAACACATTCAAATCTCAGTGGTTTCATCCATAGGGTTAGTGTAAAATCGTGGGACTGTAGGACGGAAGGGTTGACAGACCCATGATACTAGAGATACTAGGGACAGGGTCCTATACTCCATACATATTGCTCATTGTGAGGCTAGTGACAAAAGCGTGCAGGTTCATGTTTGTTGCTACCTAAATGTGAGATGGTAGTCCCGTTCGTGCCCCATGGTTGAGAACTTGAAACTGCGATCTCATCCGAAGTCAAGGGCAGCGTGGTCGGCTGATCTGGATGTCAGATTGATGTCTCATCCGTAAATAGTGCAGATGACGCTTGCTGCTGACTAGGACGTTGGAATATGGTCTCTGATGTGTCTAGAGTAGGGTTCTTATGAAATGCAGTCACTCCACTAGTGGATGGGATGGATCTAGCACCGGGACTCGACTTATCGAGTAGGCACTATCATCGACATGTGCTAGTTTGAGACCATCAGTGATTATGATATCAACGCCACCATGTAGATGGACCTTGAAAGTGTTTTCATGTCGGGAAATCACGCTAAATGGTCTTTTGTTAGGCTGTCACAAAGGTTTAAGTACTGAATCTATTTGTATCAAAATATATGAATACGTAAGTAACTCTTGAGGAAGAACCACCTGACGAGTTCATACCCGGAGCAGTGTCCGTAAGTACGAAGATACTCGTTGGAAGTAGTCTGGTGTTCCTAAAGTGTCACTGCTTCGTGACGTGAAAAATTCTCCTAGCAGACGCAGTGTCATGCTGTATATTATATCTGCGGTGGAACTTCGAATATTTGCCCTTAAACTAGTTCTGATAACATGCAGAAGTTTTCGTACCATTTGCTGCCTTCTTGTTCTAAGGTAGCACTTTCGAGTTCTCGGTGAGACCGCTCAGCGCTTTCCATCGCTCTATGAAACAGCGGGCAACTATTTCCGTCATAATAGGCATGATGGGAATTGCTTCGAGCCATCTTAAGTATTCAGTGCACATGAGTATGTGATCGTAACCTTGAGATGGGACAAGGGTCCCTTAATATCCAGGTGAACGTGTTCGAAGCGAGCGTCAGGCATGGAGAATATGGGGGGCAGTTACGTGCTTACGCATTTTGGATCGCTGACACTGTAACCAGTGCTTTGCCTACATTACAAAAATTTTATTCATAGAAGGCCAGACGTGTCGTGCAGCAATGATGCGTGAAGTGGCTGTGATGCACGGGTAAAATAGTCCATTCAGGGTGTCGAACATGAGGCGACGGTAAGCAGAGGCTACGATGGGTCGAGATAGATCCCTAAATATATCACACACACACCAAAAAGTAGCCGGAATGTCCTACTCTCTGGCTTGAGGATGGTTAAGATCTATATTATTGGCTTTCTTAACCATTTCAGTTAATGGAGACGTATATTTTGTAGGCAAACTACCCACTTGACTAAACTGAAAACGTGCATAATTCACTGCTGAATAATAGCATTCAAATGAAGAACATTAAAGAGCATACGGTGATGTACGAGGACTTCTTGTAACCTGAATATACATGCTTTCAGACATTTTCAATAAAAAGATTGTCATCAACAATCAATGAAACCCATGTATGACAGAATTAAGTACAATTAAGAAGCAGTAGTCGTACAGAGGAAGAATGTCCTAAGGACATCATTTTCACTCTATCTCACTCACTAATCATTTGTTACTTCATATCTCGCCAACTGTTTCAACCTTTCTGCTTCTTGTAAGCCTACAAATTTTGAATTCCAAAGGTCAGATACCGTTCATTTAAAAAACCAAAATACAATATTCCTTAGCTTATACAAAAAGTATCGTAAAGTAGACAAAAATATAGAAATAACTGTGGCAGTAGAAACGATTCAATTTTTGTCTTTCTTACATTCTTAAAATATTGATACTTTGTTTTAATATCTAACTGAACGGGCGGTAGAGTCCATCTAGTTTCAATTCCCTTGTAAGTAAACCTAGATTTCTGTCTGTTCCTGTATTCAGGTCGTAGGTTACTTGTAGTGTCCTCTTTCAACTTCAGTTTTTCCTATTTTAGGCGCGGTTTGGGATCAAAGTTATACGCTCTTACATATCAACATTCTGGACAAAGCTGAAAAAACTACTTGCTCAGAGACAGTCGGTCGGAATAACAAGTCTTCAGATAGTTATTTTGTCGCTAATAAACCAGAAAATTTACGTGAGCCTCACACATTGAGATGGACCGCTGGCGCTACGCTGGCTTCAAAATCAAGCCATACCGATTCTATTCGTAAGGAGGTTTTGTTGTAAGTTGGCTCCATTAAATAATTTCCAATTAGCATTCTTAATAAGCTTACTGCTGAAAATTTCGAACAACAAGGCGAAAAATTTCTTAGTTTAGATATCACCTCAGCTTCCCTTCATGTCATTGCTCAATTAGTAAGCTTACTGTCTGTACTAATATATATACTAGATTTATCAAAAAGCCATCTATGAGTCGAAATTCACCTCTTTGTATGCCCAATTGTGCTTAAAATTATGCAGTCGTGTCCCTAATTTCGAAACAAAGGGTTCTCAATCGGTAAGAAAACCAAAATGAGTAATCTCTCTCCAGACTTTTCAGATATTCTTAATTAAGTGTTGTGAAGATGAGTTCAAGACCAGAGATGTCGGTGATGATCAGATCTCACGTCAAAAGTGCTTGGGGAATCTACGCTTCATCGCTGAACTTGGGATATGTGGTGTTATGTCCGAAAAGGTTTTGCATAACTGTGTCCAAGAACTTCTTTCAAGGAAAGGCCAGCATACTTCAGTCAACGATTCGGAGGTACATACATCTGCGCAGGAAAAAAATAAATCCGGTATGTCAAACTTACATAATAAGAAGTGGAAATTAAGTAACTGGGTGTTAGTAAGCTGAGTCTACAAACGCGTCTTGTTCATTCAGTCACCGAGTCCGAGTGTGAAATATCAGTTCAAGCAATGCAAGTGCATATATTTTCATTGTCAGCATCCGTTCTGGGCTTGGTACAAAAGCCTATAAGCACTTGGTAATCCTATACTGATATCACGTAGAATTACTAGGTCTAAATCATTTCTTGCCCGTTGGCTCCCCAACTAGGAACTATTATTCTCATAAAAAGAATCAACAGAGATTTTTGTCATTTTACGATATACTTGCCTGTCATCCAGTACTCTGGGGTAGTTAGTGAGTGACTATACTCAGTTGGTTGGTCAATGACCTTCCCTAGCTTTGATGCCTTTGTCGTAATCCACTCCCCCACTCATCAATTTAGCTGGAGCTACTGAAGTTACCCTTCACTTGGTAAGAATATGGGTATTAGTATCAAAACTATATATCCTCATGTTGGATGTGCGCAGTCATGATCAATCCAAACACTAAATTTTACTTGTTCACGTTTTTTGATACTCAGTTTGATACAAATAAACTTGGCTAGTTTCAGGCTTTCCACACTTAGAGACAGACAAACATTTATTCATCAGTTGATTTAGGCCATCATCTAGACAATTAGTAGAGCGCCGGCTTAGTGACTAGGTCATCTGACTTTTGATCAGCAGGTCGTACGTTCAGATTCCATTCCTTCTTGCTTTAGACAACCAGATTGTACCACCAATCCTAACAAACTGTCAAAGCTAAGTACATGGACATACACGAATGAGTTGCGCCGTTATTATGTTTCTGTGTTCATTGTCTCGTTTTAGCTTACACTCTAAGTCAACCCTCATTCAAAGAGTTCTGAATGTTTTTTTGCAGCTAATACACTTCGGGATCGCTCTTCGTCCACCGATTTGGAATATCTTTGTCAGTTCCTGACTGCTGTCGGAAAGCATATGGATACACCAAAAGCAAAAAATTTGATGGACCAATATTTTCATCGATTGCGTCGTATATTATCACGCGCTTACGATTCGGATGGATTAACATCCAACAAACTTGAGAATATATCCACGGGAGGGAAGATCTCAAGGTGTTCGAAATCGAATGACAGCTGTAACTTACCTACTAGAGTGCGGTTCATGATTGAAGATCTGATAGACCTTAGGGAAAACAATTGGGTTCCACGCAGAGCCGGTCAACGCACAGAAACAAACAAGCCACGTTTCCTTCGAGATATTCGCCTAGAGATATTAAAAGTAAGGTTTCACTTTATTCTATGTTGTAACGTGAATCTCACTTTTAAGAATGTTTATCTGTAAAGTACTCCCTCGCCTTCCAGTCTGTCATAACATGCGTCAAAATCCTTACATTTTATGCTGGTTGCTTCGTCCAATTTTTGTTAAATTTGGGATGGTTGTAGGATGTAGGGGTAGTCAGTCAGTCAGTTTCAACGTGGAAGTTTGTACGTACTTACGTAAGTCAGTTCAAGTTGCCATACCACGGTTGCACAGAGATGCAATTGTCTGTGAGAAAGCTAGGAGTGGACAAATTAAAACATTGAACAAATCCATGAAGTCACTGACAACTGGTTGGGGTCGATGAGACAATCGTAACTGGTGGTTAGAGACTGAATGAAATGGTTCAAAGTCGTCTGCAGTAGCACAGATGCATGCATTCTTTGTCTTGTCTCAAATTTTAGTCTTCTGAATTCCCCGTGACCGTTTTTTCATTTTAAATTTCACTGAACTATACTCCATTATTCATATCTCCGATCCCTAATCTTTTCGATTATTGCTAATACTGCTACAATCTGTAATGCTATGGGTTTTGAATCCACAATCCCATCTCTGTATGGTAATGTGATTATGGCAACTTGAACTGGTGTACGTACGTTGTAGCTGATTGACAGGTTGATTATCACTCTTTTACCAGCTGAAGTTTATTTGGGGAGTTAGTATCAATGCTTGACGTCAAAGAAAAACCAACAACAAACTTTGTAATATCTGGTTTTACTTCATTAAGGACCCAGCAAATAATCCTTAGAATTTTCCAAAGTTGACATCTTAAAAACGAGGTAAGTGTAATCCATCTTTGATTTTGACGTTACAATAAGAAAAACAATTTACCTACAGGCTAAATTTTTTTGCGCTCTATGAGATTATTTGGAACTCCCCAATTCGATTAACTCACGTTAGTTAGCTATAATGGAGGAAACTACAGCTAAGACTACTTTTATATGCAAACAATAATGGTTTGACGACTAATAGTCCTGAACCAAACAAATGAGTCCTTCCGTCCAGTAGTTTTTAGTTATCACGGATAATGTTGGTTATGTACTGCGGCTATTTTACGTTTTGTACATCTACTTTCAAGCCTTCGGTTGAAACTTGAGCGCTATCTTTATACATAAAATAAAATTTTATCATAAAACCCTTAGCAGAGTAATAAACGCTAGGTTTTTTTTCCAAAAAGACCGTTAATTCCAGTTTGTTTTTAATCCCACTCCTTACTTTTTAGGAATCCGGAGTCCTTGTTGCCCCAACTCCAAGTGAGCGCTCCATCACACAGCCTGATGTGCCTGGAAGTGCTTTTGTAGGTCATTCATCAGCTTCAAGTAACTCTTCAGTAAATGGCGAATTTCCGTTCGTCAGTGGTCTGAGCTCTAGTTCATCGAAAAATAATAATGGGTTAAATACAGGCGAAGCCAAAAGTTGGATGAAGTTGGCACGAATGGGCGAAGAACTCTGTCGTCAAAGTCCTCGTGATTTCTGTTTGTTAGATAACCGAAACCGTATTGGAGAGAGCTCTATTAATCAATTTTACGGACGTCCATCAGCTGGTACTGCTACAGCTAATCGACGCTTTTTGTCTAGCAAAAACGATTTATCCCATTCAAACAATATTCCTCATCAAGGCTCCAAACCAAACACCACTGACGGTTGGACCAAAAAAACAGAGAAGATTGAAGTTAGTAACGATATGGGGTGGGTACGTGGTGTCAACCCAAGGTTGCGGAACTCCGTCATTACTCTGAGTAATGGCATATCAACAACTAATTCCAACTTACCTCCTCGAATGCTCAGGAAACTGGCTGCGGAAGCTGCTGGGAATTTACAGATTAATTCTACATCAAATGTTTTGGATGATACGAAGCAGCCCATTCATTTGGAAGCACAGAGCTTCCATGAGAAATCCACTTCTGATAACACGGCATCCACTTCCAAAAGCAGTCCATTCAACACCACTTCTTATATTCATCCCCTTGGGCAAGCCAATTCTTCTGATCCTTTCGAGGTAAATCTTTTAAATCATAGTTTCATTAGTTTCCTGAAATGAAACGTCTTCGTTAGGGTTAATTCTGCTTTATTCAGAATCTTACTGCAGACTAAGGATTCAATCCTTCTATCTTGTTTCAAATCAGTTATGACAAGGTTTGATATCTCAGTTTTGCAAGATTTTTCTAGTTTTTTTGTTTTCAGAGTTGCTGCTTCAACTGTATAACGGCCTTATCATCTAGTTACAATTTTTGTTAATTAAAGTACTTGACCAAAAGGTCTGTAAAATGAAAATTTAAATATCCTAATCAATCACTGTATGAGAGTCAGTGAGCACCTCAGGGTTTGGTTCTGTAGGCTATCATAAATAACTTTTATGTATAACCAACCATATATCTTTATTAGTGTAGTAAAGTTAAACTACATTCTAAATTTGAATCAACAGAAACTCCATTTTTCTGACTACAACCGGAAATTTTATCATTCTAGTCTCTAGTTCCTAGTGTATTTATCTATTTGTTTTGACAATTATTGGTACAAAGGGAACTCTCAGTTATTTATGCATCACTATTGGATTTGTGTGTTGACTAAACTACTTCCCATGTGCTCAAACCGAAGCAAGTGTGTTCTGTAGGAGAATATTACTCGACCTTGTGGCCAAGAGGTCTAATTCACAACACAGTAGAGAAACTTCAGGTGACACAAACTCAGTAGCCGGTGACCAAGAATAGGTTCATCCGATATATGCTGCCCTAGGATCCTGGAGCCTATGTTCACTATTGGTTTGGAATTAGAGTTTAAGAACTTCCCTAGGTGGATCGTCTGTTTCCATCAACCCATTTAAAGCGCCGGACATTCGATTTTCCCCCTTTCACTGCCACACGAAGACGGTAAGTGGCAGTTCCACTACAATGGCTGTATGCATGTGACAGCATTTCGGGAGCTAGAGCAGCCTTTCCTCACTCTCAGCCGTACCAGGACATTTACATAGAATTCATCTAAGTTGACTAATACCTCTGTGCACTAATGATCTTAATTCTTACATTTTTAGTATTGTTTGTTCGCCATGATGATACATGAAAGTCAGTGCTTCATGAGTCGTTTCATACTTAGGTGGTATCCCATCCCGTTTAGTAAACCAGCATAAATTACCTGTTTGCTCTTTTGTTCAAAGCCTGCATACCTACAAAGAGAAAAGTCATCAGTCAGTAATGGCGATAAAGTCAGTATCCAAAAACCTGTTTGGTTTAACCCCAAAGGTGTTTCAAACACGGGGATATACGGTAGTTCACATCCAAGTCTTTCTGGTAAACCACAGTCTTCTAGCTCATGTCCTTCAAGTTTAATAAGCAAGCCAAATTTTCCAGATATTCAAACATTAACACTTCAGAAATCATGTAATCGTAAGGTCGACCAACTAAGGTCATCTAATTCGAACAACGTGATCCAGTTATCAAACAACGTTGCTGAAAACAATTACACAACACACGTGGTTGATGAAAACAAGAAAATCGCCCTTAGATTGGTAAGTTTTTGCAATCATACTTTGCGTTTTAACGTTAATTTGCAAGATTCAAATATTGCAAATGTCATCGGTTTCGGGTAACCAAAATCAACTGTTATGCTTCCCCACAGATCAATGGAAGGGTTAGATGTCGGGTTTGGGGTCTAAAAAAGGATTCAGTTGGATAGCTGGATGGTCGTCTCAAGATTGGGTTGACAGCTACTTTTGCAATAAAAGTTGTTCCTTGTAAAGGACTTGGTTTGGACTTCAACTACAAACAGCACCAATATGTAAAAATGGTATGCTGATGGTCTGAACTGTGTTTGATTTCGAAACCTAGAGTATAAAAATGCCAGGTACTTTTATCTTGTTACGTCGTTTTAGGAAACATGCCCTTCTCATACATTACTCCATGTAAAACACAAAGATATCTGATTACCATTATCTTTACAAAGATAGACAATGGTTCTAATTTTTGAAGTATTTATCGAACTCTTCTGTTCAATTTTGATGTCCTTCAGTAAGTTCTGACTTGACCAGTAGTGTTTAAGTAGAGTGCCTGTACAAGGTTAATATACGTCTTTAGTATACCTTTCAGTGACAGATACTCTCACAGAACCAACAGTGTCTAGTGCCTCCTTAAAGTGCGACCATTATCGGACATTGAAAAGTATCCCAACGTCCCAGAGCGAAGGGTGAATATTTGGTCCATACGTCGACGTCCAAGTTGCGAAGCAGATTAGTTTCTCAAGTTTGCTCTTCATCTGTTATATTAGGGAGGTTAATATTTTCATACTAAGACAGGTCCTGGAACACACACACATTTAGGCGTCCTACAATAGTTATGTTCCTGAACCTAAAAGCGGCATTTGACTCTGTGGATCGTGAGGTTCTGTGGCTGTGTTTGTCATTGAAAGGTGTACCAAAGAAGTACATTAACCTTATATAAGCACTCTACTCGAACACTATTGGTCGAGTGAGAGCTTATCGCGAACTGTCATCTGAATTCTCTACATCAAGTGGTGTCCATCAGGGCTGTCCACTCTCCATTCTTTTTTAACTTTGTCGTAGACATCATCTTAGAGTTAATATTATCCTCGTCAGATTTTTCAGGGGTTGGTTTTCTACCAGGAGGATCGCTTACTGACCTAGAATATGCCGATGACATAGTTCTATTCGGTGAAGACGCTAACAAAATGCAGTCTTCTGACTACCATAAGCAACAATGCGAGCATGTTCGGGATGCGGTTCTCACCCCCGAAATGCAAAATAATGCTTCAAGACTGGGTTGCATCGGCACCTGAACTAGTGATAGGGAGTGAAGTAGTCGAGCGTGTTGATCACTTCACTTATCTTGGAAGTCTCATCAGTGCTGATAGCCTGGTGACTGACGAAATCTCAACGGGGATACAGAAAGCTCGATTTGATTTTGCCAATTTATGGCGTAGGCGAGATATCCGTTCGATAACCAAAGGACGAGTGTACTGCGCAGCAGTTCGCTACGTCCTACTATATGGATGCGAAACATGGCTGTTATGAGTAGATGTTCGTAGGTTGCTAGTATTCGATCATAGATGTCTGAGAAGCATTGTTCGTATACCGTGGGACAACCGAGTAAGCAGTGCTGTCGTTAGGAAACGAGTATTAGGTAAGGATGGCAGATCAATAGATGAAGTGGTGAAATTTCATCAGTTGAGGTGGTTTGGACATGTGTTATGTATGGCTAACCACCGACTGCCTCGACGAGCTATGTTTTGTGGTGTAGGAGTAGGTTGGAAGAAAGCTAGGGGCGGCTAGAACAAAACATGGCACAAATCCATGAAATCACTGACAAGTGGACTGAGTCATGTTGGTAGATGTAGGCTACCTGGTTGGGGTCCGCGAGACGAAATTCACCAATGGTTTGAGACCTTGAACGACATGGCTCAAAATCGTTTGCAATGGCGCACGTGCATCCACTCTTTGAGCTCTCTCAAATCCTAATCTTCTGGATTCTTCAGCACCTCTACTTTTGTCTTTCTAACCCTATCTCACTGAATTATATTTTTTGAATAATATCTTCAAACCCTAGTCTTCTTCATTACCATTAATACCTCTACTATCTCTATCACTTGGGATTTGATTTGACATTTGCGTCCCTGTGCTAATGTGGTATGGTGACCTGAAATAATGTACTTACGTACGAAGTTCTGCGTTGTATCTATCTGTCTGTCTGTCTAATATTTTAGACACTACAAGTTAAATTGAATGTCACGAGAAGATACTTGTCTTTTCTTATGGACTGGGATGGTCTGAGATGAAGACTAATCAAATTGGATTACGTCTGGTTCTCAGATTCTAGCTGAAAGCACAGTCAATCTAACTGCTATACTGGGCCACCATCTTTAAAAGTCTCAGAGGTTAATCCATCAAGTCCTGCTGCTCTCCCTCCCTTTAGATTGCCTATGGCCTTTTCAACCTCAGTAAAAGTTACAGGACTAAATCAATTTATCATTCAGATTGCTTGGAAATAGTGGGTAGCTTTCTTCTAGCCTACTGCTATACCACAAACCAGCCGGTTGAGATAGTCGGTGGTTGGACATTCGTATAACATGTTCCAACCACCAAGCTCATGCAGATCGACATGCTCGTCGTAATGTTGATCACTTCATCAAGATACTTAATGCACTAAGGCAGATAAATTTAATTACTTTCCTCCTAACTGCTTTATTTTACAGCTCAATTTATTGGGGGATTCTCGTGATCCGATCTTAGTTAGAAATCAGTTGAATTCATCGGATTTTAGTCGGATAACAACCGAAGTTCTTGCTATTGCTGTTTTGCATTTATGTGAAGAAGGTGAGACTAGTTGCATTATTAGTGTTACTAAATTGTTTTTTTTCAATTGCCGTGTGTCAGTTAAATTAAGCAGTTTAAAATTACATCATTCATACATTTCTCCTTTATTTATGCCTAAAAGTGGAGCCTGCATATTATCAAAAATTCGTATTAAGGTTTGCACATGTGAACAAAAATTAGTGTATTTATCAGCAAATAAAGCGGAAGTATAAAGTCATCGCAAAGAGAAACGATAGATAAAGTGGACTTAGAAGACGCTTACAAAATATATTCTTCATTTCTTTGAGTAGGTGTTAGCATGTTTGGTATGGGTTTCGCTCCCTCTGATCTAGTCAATTCCTGAATAACTGAGAGTAAAGTAGTTGAACTCGTCGATCTTAGGAGTCACCTCACTTCTGGTGGTTTAGTGTATAGTAAACTGTCAACATTCATTCAGAAAGCTCTTAGCTTTTGTCAACTTACGTCGCCCGTAGATTAGGCTTATTGACTTTTCTCCCTAACCTTGCATCCCATTGTCCATTTATACATACTTTCGATTTGTATTTTCAAACTATGTTCCCAACGTTTAGCTTTTATTTTTAGGATTTCTAGTAAATCATTTCCATGTCGTCGCGCTAATTAAGTATAGCAGCCTGGGCCGACGCACATCTGTCTCATTCATGTTGGTGTCTGAGTGACTGCTACATCATGCAATTACAGATTCTGACAAATGGTTATTTGTAACTTTTTGACTCAAACTCGATATTTATAACCATTGGTATTTGGTTTGTCTTTGGCGTTTTTATACTACTAGCACGCATGTTATTTATCTGATTATACTGTCTAAAGCTAATTTCTAACCCTTACTAGAGCTCTACAATCCGCTAAACTATATTGTTAAGACGATATTCTCTGCCGCAACATCTTTACTTTCTTTAGTGTCTCAATGAGTTTCTTTCGTTAATTTCAGACTACACTGATTTCGTAGAGGATTCAAAGCTATCAAAAAAAATTCTAATTGATTCGTGAGCAATTACAAATTTATATCCTAAAATTATTGCGAATTGGCTGATGGTTTGTATCAGGTCATTTTGAAGTAATTGCTCAGGAATCGTTTCTATTTTTTTTACTGCAGTTTTAAAAGCGCTATATATCGAATGTCAGCTCACAATGTGATGATTATCTAACAGACATATATGTTGTGTTTCAAAAGTATGTTGTGACTCAACACCTCTTAGAAACAGTGTAGCAAAGCTGAACAGGTGTGTTAAGTGATTCGTGTCACTTCAGTACTTATTTGAAGATAGTCTAAACAACACTCATATGCGCTTATATGTACGGATGATATATGCTTATTATGTATTCATGAACGTTATTGCTGGCAATTTTAGTACACAACTAATTTCCAAGAATGATTTTATACTACCTAATGTCGCCCACTATTTTTTAGTCGTTCCGAATTTATTTGTGTGGTTGAAACAGTGGTTTCAGTACACAATTTAATTGGATTTTATTAACTTATATGCTTCTATATCTTGTTTATATCTTAATCTAAAGGAGTAAAATTGATTTTTTCCTAAGGTACCAATCTCAAGTTGGCGGAGGCAGAACCATATGAATTGGCTACATTATTTGTAGCATGCGCTGAAAACTTACTGCATCGTGATGCAACTACGTCTTTCTTTACTTCTAAGGATAATCGCAAAGTGAAATCTGCAAAATTGTCATGTCATCCTTTATCTCTTGTGTGGTCACACCTTCTTAACAAGGTTTTATGCACGACACAGTTAACTTATTCTAAGTCCAAGTTAGCTTTATTATCAGCTGCTTTAATTTGGAGTCGTCATATTAGTCTGTCTGAATTCGGTGAACCCCTGCGTGGTGGTAAACATCATCCCTTGTTTTTACTTGTTCTACAACGATTATCTCAAATTGTTGGTGAAGATTTTAAGTCAGATGAAAGTGACACAATCCGCATAGCGGGAGTTGGATCGGGTGATAGATTTTCTTCGCTCATTCAATTATTTCAGGAAAGTGAATTGCAGATGAATCAAATGGTCCCAGGTTCGTTTTTTTCCTTTCAAATATATTCTTGCCAGTTAAATTTTAGTAACCTACTACATTTTGTAAGGATTAAAATTATTTTTAATGAGCAACTACAGCGTATGTTTGATGTGCTATCATTTTAAATATACTATTTTTTTGATACAGGATATACATTTCGAAAGCCACCGTATGCTATCATCAGTATGCAGATGAATTAGATGTTTTTAGACGTTAAGAACGTTTTATGTTCGTAAATTTAATTTTTTGAGAAAGTCAAGTGTATGTTTTTGACAGTAGTACTTACTTTTATTAAATTTATAATTTCTTATTGATAGAAGGGAGTCAAACAAACGAAGCTTTGCTGTCGTTGCTGGAAGAACGCAATTTAGATTTTCTCGTCCCGAGCTTACGATTGTCGACGGAACTATCTCATCTTATCATGGATACTTCATCTTTAGAAGGGATGTCTCCAGAAGAGTCTGACAAAGTCATAGCTTCCAAATTCAGTGATTACCTTTCACAACATCCAATTCATACCGGGATACAAGCATCAGACTACATTCATGCTTGCTTGCCAGTCATTTATGAATATATCTACACAGTGGGAATTGTTAATCTTGGCAGTTTTTCTTCGCCTGCCACTTTAATGGCTAGAGAAAAAGTTGCGTGGGAGTGCATAGTACCTCAACCGCTCATTGAGATGTTACGAAACTCAACAGACCGACAATTAGATGCTCTTCACGACCTTCAGTTTTTCTGGGTTGGTAAAAACATGCCCAAAGGTCTGTTTATCTTTTAAACTAAGTCGTTTGGTAGATAATATTTCTGTACGTAGTAAAGGCTTTTCATATATATGCCTGAGCCTTCTCAGTGTCAAGTTCATGCGGAAAATTGAAAACGGTTGTTTCGCCTTTATATTATTTCCGTTTATGTCATCCTTCAACTGCCGTTTTTTATTTCCTATGAGAACTTGAAAAGTTTGCATTTATTTTACATTCTGTTTTTAGATTTAGGTCACTTGCACATGATAGTAGTTCTAACTTTGAATTTCATCATTTTATGCTTGCTTATGAGATGGAAGTTTTATACGTGAAACTTTTGTGTTATAAAAACATTCAGATAATTTACAGTTAGTACCTAATAAAAAAATTCACTCACTTTGCCGACCTGTATAACTTGATTATGTGTTATATATTCCTTATCGTTTCTAAGATCTTAACGGAAATAACATCAGCATCACATCAACAAATTGAAAAATTTCCTACCACGAGAATATCTTTTTGAGTATCTCATTTCCAGTTTAACGAAGGCTTTCTTAAGTAGTTGGAGCAGATGATACAAAATTTTTAGTATGTTTAGTGGATGATACGTAAACGAATTCCAAAATTATAAATATTTGTGGTGTAAACATGTTCTATAAACTAGAATATCCTTAGGTTTCTTGAAAGCTCAATCTTTCACAGACTACTCATGCTTATTTCCACACTCATGTTGGGAGATGTGACCATATACTTTTCGTGTGGTGACATGTATCCTGATTTCAATTCATTTTTAGCTCCATAAGTTCCCAGGTAGAACTAGTTACCTTATACTTACAATAAGGGAAGATTGTCATCCTGTTTCTAGAAACAGCGCTATCTACCTGCAATACTTATTTCAGTTTCTCATAGTTTCCGGTTTAATTCAAGTTGTACACTGTCGATGTCACCCAATTGGCAGTCGCCAATTCATGATAAAATCTTTGAAAACAAATGAATTCCTTACAAACAACTATTTTTCCGTTTTTCGAATCATCGCTTAATTGTTTGGGATTTATTATTTGAATTAATAAGTCTCACGTTTATCCTTTTTGTCCACTTCGGTCTGGGTAATCAGGTAGCATAATTGTGCCTCACACAGCGCGGCTCATAACTAAGTGTTCTCTTTATTCATAACCTATGACTACAAATCATTAATTCTTGTTATCAATTAGATAAGGACCAAACTACTTTAACATCTGTTGGATATATTAAATTTGTGATTAATCTTTAATATTTTGAAACTAATCTTTGTTAATGAACCATACGTTATTGTAAAAATAAAAACTTTGAATTATCCGCTTGGTTCGAATCCCTAAGTAATAATCCCCCCAATAATAAAGTAATTTTCCAGTAAAAATGTACACTATAATTTAATGTTTTGTTACAGGGTTTTTGTTCCGCTGTTTTATGAACCTTTACAATTGTGAGCTCGTATGTGAAGATGCATTTTTATCATGGAAAGAAGAAGTGAATCCTAGTTATCCTGCTAAAGGCCAAGCATTATTTGAGGTAGTCTATTTTTCATGTCAATTTGATATTTTTTGAAAATCGATCATTGTGAAACCTGAAACATACATCAGTACACGTTTCCTCATTACATCACATAAATGTCAGAATAATAAAAAGATTAGAGGGAGAGAATTTCAACCAGTGGAATGCAAAAGTATGGAATAATTTTGAAACTCAGGATCTACGGGCTGGCAAAAAGTAAATATACCTTGCCCATTTCAGTCGGTTAGACGCACTTTATCTGATATATCTAACGATTGGTCAGGAAGTAATCTATATCTTCAAACATGGCACAAACCAGCGGTTACTGACTGATGCCAGTTTTTCCTTTAAAGACCTCTAGGTTTGTTTCTAACCTACCCCAACCAACATCGCGCGTCGAATTAGGCGGCATTACTGTTGTCGTTATACTCGTCCTACTCTTCTTTCATTAAATAATTTTCCATCTTTTTATGGATAACGTTTCACAGCCATTAAGTAAAGCAGTAAGATACGGAGCATTATACTTCCCATTCTTTGGTAGACGAAGATCTCGCTCACACCGTTAACGACACGAGTTGGTTAGGTCACATTTTTAGCTCGCTGCGTGTAACCATAATCAGTTCGTTTTGTTACGTAGCATGGTTACCAAGTTGCATTAAAACAACCACTGTTTAGAATCGTAAAAAGTTTCGAAGTCCAAATCTTCCTTTTTCAGTACATATTTATTTGGCTATTTCGCACATACCCTTGTGAATCCACTTTTGTTTTCGCTCGTATCTTCCATTCTCCCCTGATCTGTACGCGAAAAGAATCTTTCCTGCCTACAGAAAATGGTTTGAGATTCGGTGATTTGATAATCTAAACTCTAGTTTGTTTGTTTGTCTCATTGCTTCGGTTTTGTATGCTTAATAATGTAATATCCTAGTTTATGATAAGGTTTGCAGATTATTTTATGAAATCTATCTGGTTACTTGTTTTATCACAGTTACTTTTATTCTTTAGGTTAATCGCTGGTTAACCTGGCTAGAAACAGCAGAGGAAGAAGACGAAGAGGACCGAAGTAAATCTGATTCAAATGATGATCATGGGAAAAAAGATCAAGAGTGTTCGGTTGATTCAGAAAACTCAGAAGCTTCTAAATCTCCAGATCATTTCATTGGTGTCGAGTCTAATATTGTGCCTCCAGTTCTGTGTCCAAGTTCAGCAGCTTTACTTTCTTGAATAACTTATTTAGTTTATTCACTTAAAATCAGTTTTGCGTATTGTTATGTTAGTGATATCTGTAAATCGTAGATCGTATGACTTGTATGAAAAATCGGTTTTGAAACCTCATCTTTACCAAAACAATTTTATGCACCGTCAATCACATTGGGCTTCGATTTTCCCTAATATACTATTATCGAAAATCCTGACTTTTACTTTTCCCCCTAAGACTTAGTCTTTTCGTTGTTGATTGTGTCCAGTTCCCAGATTCTACCTAAGATTTCAGTCAATCTAGCTGCTAAAGCCGGACCACCATCCTTAAAAATCTCAGGGGTAAGTCTGTCAGGCCCTGAAGCTCTCTCTCTCTTCAGATTTCCTATAGCTTTCTGAACCTCATAAAGACTAGGAGGACTTAAATCGATCTGTCATTCAGGATGACTGGAGATCGTGGGCAACCGAAGTGTGGCTAAATGCCGGTTGAACTGACTCCTAAAGTGTTTTGCCCATCGATCCAATCTCCTGGATTGTGAATGAATAATAGTCCCATCCTTCTCCGAGATAGTCTCACTTACAGTACGATTACTAATACCAGTTTCCTTGATAAGTCGGAAAAGTTGTCTAGTGTTGCCTATCGCCGCTTCCTTTTCCATCGCTTTTGCTTTCGCCACTCACAACTGTTCATGGTCGTTACGTAGGCTTTTTATCAGTCTGCGCCTAAGCTGACTTCGTTCTTCATCATGTTCAGAGCCAGGTGGGATGAGTTTTCGAGCATCCATCAGTTCGGTGGATGCTACAGAGATCCGCGGCTTCATCCTAGCCTTATGGTTTACCTTGCTAGCAGATATCACTGCTGTATCCACAGCCTTTTCGATATCACTCCAACCTGCCTCCGGATGGGAATCGCTTAAATGGTCGCCTAACTGTTTTTCTAGTTCCTGAAATATATTCTTAGCTTTATTATCATTAAGTAAAACCCTAAGAGGCCTTCTTACGGTGACTTTCCTTTGTTCCGTAAGCCTCAAACAAATACGCGTTCGCACTAGGGCATGATCTGAATCTAAACATGCGCCCCAGAACGAGCGACAGTCCTCTATCGAACCCCTCCAACGGTGGCTGATGGCGATACGATCTAGTTGTGTCCAACCTTGAGACGACTTTAGGGGTCGCCAGGTCAAAAGGTGCTTTTCCTTATGCCTAAAGTTAGTGTTTGCTAAGAATACGCGGTTATCTGAGCATAGTTGCAGCAGACGGTCGCTGTTGTCTGTTCTCTGAGCTACGAGGCCATAACATCCACCTAGGTGTCTTTCATTTTCACTTAGTCTACCTACTTGAGCAATAAAGTCACCAGATATTATTACTATATCAGAGCACCTAGCTTTTTGGAGGAGGTCCGAAAGCTTTCTGTAAAACTCATCTTTAACTTCGTCTGAACTGCAGTCAGTGGGTGCATAGGCAGATACGACGAAGAGGCCACGGCGTGTCTTTATCTTTACCAGTCCATACTGTCCTGTTCAGTCGGACAGCGCACAATCGACTGTCTATTGGGATCCAGTCTAGAAGCGCCAGTTCTGCCCTAGGACTCAATGCTGTATCTACACCAGCGAGACCCCGGGCAGCAACATCACGGCTACCGGATACACGAAGAGTAAATCGGGATGCTTCCTTATTTTGACAAGGTGATTTTACTGGGATCCGCCTATGTGTGTTTCCGAGACACAGCATACATCTATGGCTCGTGATTCTAAAGCCCTAACTAAGGAAGCCTGTTGTCCTATTTGACAATGTCTGGACACTAAATGCTCCAACATGTAATTTAGAACGACGTTTCAGGAGACCAGGAATGACGTTTCATGAACTCGCATCCTTTGCATTAGCTGTGATAAAGTAATATGAGAAGAGTTAGTCAAGGAGATAAGAAAGGTATTAGGGGGTGTAGGAAGGGTTTGATTTCGACCAATTCGGCCTCGTGTGTTGTTATGGGTATGAGGGCGGTTGTCACTTCCCGGCTGCCCACACCGTGGAAGGTTGTTTCTTGAGGAACCTGAAAAGGAAGGTAGATTAGCGTTGTTCTTAGAGACCTGGGTGCGTGACCGCAGAGCCCAAGGGACAACTGCTTGAGGCCGGTCACGCACGGTCTTTTTATGAAGGGATTTTTGAGTATTAGCTCCTCTCTTGAAAGACCTTAGTGGGCACCCTCACGGAAATCCGTGAGGTGTGACATTTTTAGGGTCGACCTTTTCTAACCCTTCCTTCCTTGTGAGAAGGCAGCATCACTTCAGATGCTGGTTGTCCGAAGGAAACACCTCACTGCTGTCACATCTCTCTGCAGTCAGTAGTACGACTTCGCCCTCAAACCTTGAGTAGCTGCTTTTAGTCTCATCGTTCTCCGATTGACCTACCTGGCATGGTAAAACCTTCAGGAACATATGTTCCAGATAATATAGCTCGGTTGGGTCATCACGATTGGCAAGCCCGACCACCACGTCAAGGTAGCAGCTTAGGTCGGGCCATACGTCTCTTGAAACTGATTGAAAAGCTATTTGAGAGGGTTTGTTGTCCGATCATCTGACCTGTATAATACCAATGAATCCATTCTAAAGTTTCGATCTGATATCAAACCTTTGTATAGTTTGATACTAATCGACTTTGATGCATCCCACGAGCGTACTTTGTGAAGTGCTTATCCACTTGCCTGGATATACAAACTATTATGAAGAAGTTTCGTAAATTCTTACTGTGAGAAATGAAAAGTGATGTTAAGTCCTTGTTTGCCTTGTACGTTTTAGTTTATAATGTAACAAAAATTCTATATTACGTAGTGTGCACCTTGGATAAGCGTACTCATACTCTTCCAATGAATAAAAGGCTCCAGCTTTACATCTCTAGTAACACTTACAGTTAAATGCACATTAACTAATTTACTTAATAAAAGTTTCTTCGAATTTAAGGTGATCTACTTCACATGCGTATACATGTTTTCTCCTGATAAACTGAAAATAATTGAGATCCTATACTCAGTACACATACACTTCAAAATATGTTGAATACATTGAATGTGTTCAGACCTTGAACAATCTTCTAGATAGCAAACAACGTTTACTTAAGATAGAATTTATAATTAAAAGTAAGAAATTTACCTTGGATAATTCTAAAATGACTCATAGACTTTTATAGATTGGGAATGAGTTCAATCAGTATGTGTATGACAGCCTCAGATATTTTGCATTCTTGGTGTGTTTATTTGGATTATAATTAGGGTGTAGTAGCTTTGTTTTCTTTAACATAGTACATTTAAACGAATGTTTGAGAACCGTATACCTTGTTTGGTAATTGAACAGAAACTTACATCTTTTATTTGAACTCTACACAGTGTTTTCTGTTTGATTCACTTCTAATCGTGACCCGACTTTTGGTTTGACAATAGACAGATCAATACTGTCTAGGTTAATAACCTGTACGAATTAACTCCGGATGATTTGTCACTGTAGTCAGATTTGTTTGGTAGTTACTTCAATAGGGATTACGGTTAGGGTTAGTCTATACAACAACGTAGGATGTAAGATAGAACGACCTATAAGCAAACTAGAAAAAAATGTAATGTTTGCTTATTTTAAGCTTCATAACTGAACAGCGGTAAACTTTACCGTCACTAAGGTTTCTCTCTGAAACCAGAAGGTAGCCATTTAGAATTTGATTTGACTGCAGTTCAGTAAAGGCATGTTATCTCTTATTGCAAGAAATCGTATCATTTGAACTGATGAAGTACTGAGTCTGTTCTTACACTCTCTTTTTGCATCTAAATTTACACTGACTAATATTTCAGATCTACAATTCCGTAACATCATTTTTCTCAGCAATTCAATGGAGTTGATCAAATTTAGGTAAATCGTTAACTTGATAACTTCCCAGTGACCTGGGAAACATTTTCTCGACCCTGAATAATTCGATCTTATAGGTCATTTTTCAGAAACTAAAACAAGCTCAATGTGAAAACCTTCGTTAAATATAAGGAGTACGTTAGAGATTAATTGTCTACTAATTTGGATTATCTAGTTACTGATAGAATAGTAACCAACTTCTAATAATGTACATCGTAATATCTTTTTTCGTTAATGTTTCACTTTCGTCAACTGTTATTTCAGGGATATAAAATAATAAAAAGTTGGAATGCTGAAAGAAACAAACAACTTATATCATTTTATAGGAATAAAGATTGTAATCTCCAGCGTGAACTGATCGACTATCGAAATCACTAATCTTTCGCTATATAAAAACACCTAGTAGTTGTAAATACAAGAAGCGAATTTCAGTTTTTTTAATTAACTAAACATACCGGATACAAAAGAGGAAGTCAATGTAATTTGAGTTCACCAGTGGCACTCAATAAACACTTGCCATGTGAGAGTACATTTGATGAATTGATTGACCTGAAGCATAATCTTTCAATCAATATAGAATGTATAATCATATTTTTTTAATTTTAACTGACAGTTATACTATACCATACATAGTGAAAAGTGGTGATCTGTTGATTTAAATCACTCATACAAATGAAATTTTGGTGGAATTTATTTAATCAATGACGCAGAAAATCAAGCGGACCTATTATATATATATATATAACCCTTGAAAATTATCTAGAAATGAATAGGATGAACAAATCTACTTAGAAATATATTATTATCGGACAAAAGTTTGGAACATGTAGTTAAAGAATTCATAGTGAATGAAGAATAATTCAACTGATTTTAGCTTAGCTCTAAAACCCTAATACGATGGAAATAATTCAATAATTGAATTGTTGAATGGATCATAATGTCCCACAGTAATACGAAGAAAACTAATGATCAAAGATGTGGTTATTTAAAGTCAGCAGTAACAGTGTGGCGACTGATGTACGTACACGAGTAATCAAAAGATGTCATGAAGGAGAATCTTTTCCCCTAAAAACTAATTTTATAGGTAAACTTTTAATCTTTATGTTGTGTGAAGATTGACATTCAACATTCAACTTTTTTTCATGTTATAATTAGGTTATCGAAACGTTGTTCCATTAATATTTTGTAATTCAAAAATTTGATATAAATTTGCTTACTGAGAAAGCAATTTCTTATAATTCTAATTATTTCATTCTAATACAATTACAATACCGTTTAAATCAAATGATAAATTTTATCTCGAAATAGACATTGTACTACTGATTAAATTTTGAGTACTATAGTTATAAATATAGATAATTTCACTGGTGAAACCAAACAGAATGAAGTGAAAGTAATTTTATACATCTGGTTAGGAATTTATTCAATATTATAAAATGATTTCTTCATTTTATTAACAAAATGAGAATGTTTTTTATTTTACAATAAAAATGTTCATAAAAAAAATTGGAGAAAAAAAAGTGGTTTAAGAGTTCGGATAGTCAGAAGTGTATTCTAGAATTTTTTGAATAATGATCACATTTATGGACATTTTTGCAGTATACCATCATTACTCTACCAAACACGTTTCCTTCTTGAAAATCAATCTAAATAAGTACTTTCAAATTTTTCTTTTACATAAGGCGTCAGCAGTAAACATGTTTGTAGATAAGAGTAAAAGGGAGAAAAATAGACTATCTATCTATTCACAGCCAATAGAATAAAATCTAATTGTCTAATTTTAACACAAATAATAATTTATTGCCAATATTCCCCCGAAAAAAAACACGTCTTCATTATACTAAACTCTACATATTCCATAAAATATCCTCTTCTTGATGTATCCCGACAGTTAAGTATCCCTGTTCATCATGATAATGTGTTTTAATTCTTTCAGTTTCCTTCGAGATGATTGTAATTAATTTAAAAAGTATGCGAAATCTATCCATTTGAAAACTAGTTTGCATATTAGCATTCGACGTAACATTATTATCAGCAGTTGTATTATAAAAACATTGAAGGTGTCAATTAAATTTATAAAATCTTTAATGGGCTGTATATATTTCTTTCAATCAATCACCTGATCTTTATGAATAGGAAATCATGTGTCAGTAATATAGTACAAGTGAATAGATTGTAAAAATAAACACATTCAAAGTAAGTACTAGAAAATATTTGTGTTTAATACCATACTTCTTATGAAAATATAATAAATGAAGAGAAAAAAAATAGAGGAACCAATACTATTTTATTCGATAGCTCATATTTTTCCAGTGTATTTAATTGATTGGATTTTTGAAAGAAAAAAGAAGATAAAACTATGAATTTGTTGACTTGGATTGTAATGATTGTTGTGTCTTGGAAAGTTTTCGTAATACTTTACCACGAGAAAATACCTGTTTCATTTTCATTATTTTGGATTTTTCCTTTGGACGAGACTGAATATTTTTTTAGAGTAGATAAAAGAAGGACAGAAAAACAACAAAAAAAAAGACAATTATCAAAGATTATCTCCAACCGTACAAATAACATTACACAATAACTACGTCAAAATTAAAATGATTTCTAAACATCACTCACTACTAATAATCTGAATATTTTATGGTGTTTTCCAAGCATCTTCAGGAGAGGCATTTCGCCTATAATGCGAAATTACTACAATTCATTTTCGAACCTTAAAATGTTGCTATTTCTAAATAAAATGGTAAACTTTTGATGAAACCTTTGTTAACATAAAACGTATTATTCTAGACAATGAAGTAATATACAATCATCACTGCTGAACTATAATTCATAGTGTAAGTAATGTTAGCATCGGTGGCTCTGGGACCATGGTCTGTGATTAAAAGCACACGACTGGGGACGATGTTCAAACACACAGTTTAATCTTCTTCAACTTGAATAGTCACATATTATCATTGACTATCAAAGAGTAAGGTGTAGTTCAACGTCCGATAAATATATCTGTATTTGGCAACTAAATTTCGTTACATATAATAATTCTTATTATTTCAAATCTTTTCATTTGAAATTCCGAGAGAAATGAAAGAAATTTAAACATCAAAAAAAAAATTCCGAAAACTCATGAAGGTATATAATTCTTGAATGATTATTATTATGTTATAAATAATTTAGATTGATGTTGTAATGCAATTAATTCATTATATGATAGAAGATTTTGTATGAAGTACACTCATTTTGTAGTTCATAGTGTACTTTAGCATTCCTATATCAATCAACTAAAGGGAATGCCAACATGATTTCTTTTATAATTACGAACATTATTGTAATTTATATGTCGATAAAGCTGTGAAATACAAATTGGTTCAATGAAAATAACTGAATTTTGTGCACAACAACAACAAACCATAAGAAATATTTTAAAAAAGGGAAACTGATTTTGCATTGAATGTAAATCGGTTTATTTTCAAAGAAACAATTAAAAGTATGATTTGATGCTTAGAGTATAATAATATTTTCGGAAAATTGAAACTTGGCAAATTGATAAATGTTAATTTGTCTCATTTTTGTATTCAGAAAATGTTTGAGAGAGTTCATACGTGACTCATTACTCTATAGCACTAATTTTTTCAACTAGTTTACAAATTTGTCTGAATGTCATTTTGAAATTTTTTAAAAGTTAGATTATTCTCAATTTAGAATGTCCATTACAGCCGCTAAATTCAACTTAAAATAATCGGTAATCATTTGAAGTTAATTTTTTTGTGACTTTATTAAACACTCCCGAATTCAGCTTTAGAATTTACGTGAAATGTTTATAAAAGGACAAAAACTTCCAGATAATAAAGTTTTCAATATATGTGCTATTCACTATGTTGAACTTTTTATAAGTCAAATTAACAGATAATCAGAAATATATATATATATATATATATATATATATATATATATCTGATTATTAAAAATGTATATCCTAACACTATATTGTAAATAATTAGAATATGTCCTTTAAAATTAATTTTTTTGTCACTAAACCATCTCGATATCAAATACTAATATATATCATGATGCTTTACAATTATAAACGAATGAGAAAATAATAATTACAAAATATTTCCTCTTTTAATTATAACAACAACTGCACAATAGACAGATGATTGAATTATTTATTGATCAAATGGTCATGAACGATATATTTGTTATTTCTTACTAGCTGTCTTGATAAATATATTTTCAGTCTGCAAAGTTCATTATACTCTAAAAATAATCTTCTGGCAAAACTAGTCTAAAAAAAAATGACTGAAATTTTAATTTATTTGAAATGAATTCGTTTTCATTTTCAATTGACATGTGAATGGCTGTTATTGTACATCTATAATGTTTTTCATTCTAATCATAGGGAGTTATTTTAGTCAATAAGTAAATTATATACTAACTAAAGTACTACGTAATACGATACCTTTATATGAGTGTTTTAGAAAGAAAAACTCATTAGAATGGTACAGAGAAATCAATAAACAGGTTTTTCATTCTAAACGAAACTCATCAGCCAAATATACTCGTATCACAGTGTTGATATTTACATCGAAAATCAAACCATCCTACATTACACTTCAAATTTTAGTTGATTGTTGAATTGATATCAGCTCATATTATCAGAATATTCTGTCAAAAATCGAATTGATAGTAAGCCTTTAATTCTATTGTTTTATATTTATTTATTACTTACGTTTGTTAGAGAATATTTACTTTTCTTAGTCGATAACTTGGCTTGATTTTCACTTTGACACCATATATAACCTGGTTGAAGTATCCATATTTGTTCATCAGATTCTTTTCTATTAGCAGTATCTGATTCATTATATACATTATGTACATTATTATTTGTATTGTGTATAGATTTTATCGATCGTTTATGAAGAGTATCAGTGATAGTATCATGAGTAGCAGTAAATTGATCGATACTCTGTAGAGTATTTGATGAAATTAAACAATTTTTATCTAAATTATTATTATTATTATTAATTTTATTGTCTTTCATAAATATAACATCTGTTGGCGAATTCATAAACTCATTTGATTCATTTAAATTATACATTGGTGATGAGGCGAGTTCATCATTTTCTAATATTTCTTGTACAGTTGATGTAGTTTGTGAATGTGGATATGAATTATTAGCTCTTTGAAAATTCTCTATTCCATGTAATAAATAATTTTTTCTTTGTTTATCATTATTATCATCAAGTTTATTAGATTCTTCTAGTTCATTTATTTCACATTCTTCTTCTAGTATATTTGTTTTATGTTTATTAATATTCCATGCCTTTTTAAATATATTTGGTAATGTTCTTAAAAAGTAATGATGATTTTTGCCAGTGTTAACAAAATTATAATTTGATATTGTTTCATTATTCAATGTTTCATCTGATATATGCCTTAAAAATATTGATGTCGATGACCTGAAATGAATTCAAAGTGGAAAAAATTACAATCTAGAGCATATAGACAAAAGAAAATAGTATGACAAGAGCTTGTAACAAAATCCATTACCCTTATAGTTCTTACAAAAAAAAGTTTTTATATTGAAAGAAATGTGAGAATTTCACTCGCTGAAAAAATTGATATTTTAAGAAAAAAATATCAATCAATTTCAATCATACAGAAATTAGGATTCACTGTTTTTGCATGCAGAGTTAAAGGATAACCTATAATGTATTCAAGTATTTTGGAAAAAAACATCTATCTTAACTCTTGATTTTATTTCAACAAAACACTATCAGTATATGTCAACAAGTAGATTAGAGGAAATATTACAATCAGTTGTACATAGTAAAACTATTAACTTCAAATTAGCTACAGCAGACAGACATATTTTTAAGTAGAAATATAAAACAACAATAAACAATCAATTGTTGATTATTGGTGAAATGAGTTAAGTGACTAATATAACAAAGAGAATAATTGAGGTGAGAAAAATAGATTGTCTATAAATTTCAATAATAATAGATCTGAGAAAAAAATAGGAGTAGTCAGTAAATCTTTTAATAAAGCTGTAATATTCGTCACTAGGTACGCTTGAAGCTATTACGAGTTCACCTTAGTCAATAAACGCGAACGAGACAATTTCCAGCGTCCAGTTAGGCTACCTTGAATCTTAAGCTGTAAACAGAAGTCTTGGTAAGCGTAGAAAGTATATTCTACAAACACCCAGCAATCAAAATACGATCAAGCACACAACTCTCGTTTATTTATACATCATAGAAACGTCCTTCGGACAGTTACGAAAATAGCACACTAAAATACACAGCAGCCAATCACAGCCATGGATTCCCCTAGTGGGAAATGAAATCTCAAGCGTATATTTTTTACATACATCATATTTTTGAAAATCATTAACAGCTGATAGCTGCAACAAACAATGAGGTTGCAACCAGAAGTGAAAACTATAAGTGTTGTCATCTAACCGGAAAATAAAAACAACAAATAGATTCCCGTACTAAAAACAGTCCATTCTAATTGACAAATGCAGAGATTTATCAACGACATAACCAACTATTCAACCAGATAACTAATGACGTAAAAAAATCAGATACTTTTCCAAAAAACTAGTCAAGTCATAAAATATATAAATAATCGGAATGCAATTTACCAGTTTTCTTTAATTTCGGCATGATAGGCATAATGAGGCGATTTTATACAAATTTATCCATTTATAAGCTTGAATAGAGAAAGAGCAAATATCGTGTCAGAATAATATGAATTTATTCATTTCTCTGATTTACCTCAGCCGTTTACAACTTCAAGTGTTATTACTTCAATATGTTTCGTTCTAAATCAATCACAGCTTAGTCTGTAAACAAGCCTATTTTTTTTCTTATTCACAAGCAGGTATTTTTCATTTCTCTGCACATTTCACGTGACACAACTATTTCGAAAACATTCTTTATCCATATATATTATCAATTACTCGCTTAGATGACTTTGGAATTGCGTTTTTAATTGTTACCTTTTAGTGAAGATTTATTATTGCTGTGGCTTTTTCATGAACACGTAAACGTCTATCAGACATTTTTTATGATCTTCAGTTTATTTTTGAATAGAGTATGATGAAAAAGAAAATCACAATCGAATGGTGACTTATGTGTCATTAAATGAATGTCAGTTTGTTAAATAATGAAAGAACTAGCATGTCAGTCATCTTATCTGAAATATGAAACTGACAAAATATATAACAGTAGAATATGCTTAGAAATGTTAGTTGACCTTAGTGTTTTCTTATGTATCCTTGTTTTACATCATAAAAATGACTTAACAAAAAAATGCATCACTACGAAAACAGTAGTGTAATTAAACCAGGTTAACTCTATACACTGTTTTACTATTTCAGTGAAGCGATGTATACATTCAGTCTTCATCACTGTTACAAACTGATAGTATGTTTTAATTCATTTGTATTGGTTATTCGAATCTTTTTACTAATGTTTACAACTGCAGTTGATCAGTTTCTTTTGGCATATGTGCATTCTGTGCAGATTGTCTAGATATTGTCATTAAGTCATGAGCATGATAGGCAGAGATGGATGGTGGCGGTTAGCAGTGGCATCCAAAGCAAATTCCAAATAGGATGAAACGCGCAATTTGGATTCCAGTGTTAGCTAACATCTATCTCTACTTATAATCGTAATATGTTTAACCTTACATTGTTATTACCGATGCATATATAAAAGAAATATCCTAAGAAAAATTTGCTTTGTATTCTACAGATAACCGAAAAATGTGTAGGTCTCTAGATTTGTAATAAAATTCCTAGACGGATTCCTTCGTAAAACTATTGTTTGGTTAGTTATCTAAGTTGACCAAAAAAACCTTTAAATAGTTATAAAAATCCGCATAAATTAATACGAGTGGAATATGGTTAGTTGGTACATGGAACTAGATTACAACGTGAAAATCCGACAGTTTTAGCTTCGTTTAGTTAATAATAAAACATATGTGAACTAGAAGAAGGTAGCTTTCGGATTTATGAATTTCAAAGGTATGTAGATAGGTTATCAAACATGAGACTATTTCATATAGCTTTTTGAGGTAATCGCAAACCTTAATTAAAATTTTTATAATTTTCTCCTCCCGTTGGACAACTGTCATTCATTGAAAAGTACATTGAGTTTTTATTTCTAACTGATAGTTTGTTAAAATCCCTAGATAAAAATTCTGGTCACACACTTTTAAACAGATTGAATAGGATTCATTGATGAAAAAAAATATTCTAAGCTTTTTCCTACCTGTCACAAATTTTCAATTTTTCTTATTTTTATTAAAACACTCATCATTTTTCATATACTATCTGCACTTTCTTTTTTAACTAGTCTACATAGTTTTTATAAGAAATCGCTAATGTGTTGCTAGATTTCGTGGAGAGTTCATTGAATGACAGACTGACTTATTTGCAGACATAGATGAATTTACACATCAATAATATTAATAACTAATAAAAAATATTCTTTTTAAATTTCCTTATTGCTTATTATTATGAAGTGAACTATATTAGATTTTGATAATATTTTATATTGTACTTGGATAAGAACATAGTTTTATTATAACCAAATAGTTAACTGTAACTAACATGCAGCTTCGAGTTTACGTTTAGAGTATCGCAATACTGATTTGGTAGAAGTATTTCAGGACTGAAAAAAAACCTGATGTTTCAATTGTATTAAGTATGTGACATTTAGTTTGGTCAAACTGTTCAAAGGGCTAATGGGCAAGATTTGTAACAGTTATCGTGATTCTAATGACTAAAATCATTCAAACTAATTTCACTCTCTATCCAGTAATTAGAGAGAATGACCTAATTCCGCCTAGATTATTTAAAAGTCGACTTTGTTTATGTTTACAATAAATTGCCTTTTAGTTCATAAAAGCTTGGAATTTCTATCTTATGTTGGCCTAAGTTATTGTAATAAAATGGAGAGTAAAATGAATATAGAAATTTGTATATACAAATTTATATTTTACATTCTCATTACTTTATACAAGTGTAAAGTATCACGAAATTGTTGTCCCTCTTGGATCTCAAGTCATCTTTGGCATTTATTTTGACTGTCCAGTTCAAGAAAAATATACATTTCATCAAAGCATATAGGTTTACTGTATGTTCACTTACTTTTCAGCTTTTTCACACATAATATCAGCATCATTGAGATATTTCATTGTTTGAAGTCCTTTGGTTAATTTTGTTGTAGACTCACTTTGTAATAATAATGCTTGAAATTGTTTTTCTTGGAGTGAACTCCAGTGTTCTTGTGGATTCAAACTAAATGCACGCGGCCTTTTAAAAAGTTTGTCAAAGTTTACATTATCTTCATCTGTGGCCTGTACAGTGTCAGTAGGTTTTATTTCATCGGAAATATTGTCATGATTGCCGAAAGAATAACCCGTGTTTTTTTCATAGTTATTACACATTTGATGGCCATGTAAACGTTTATTTTCCGGAAGTTGAATATGTACCAATCTTGGTACTGATTGACGCTGATATTTGGTCAATACATTTAGAGATTCCGACTGAAGAAAGTTTGATAATATCATAAAAGAAATGTGGAAAATAAAATAAGCGAACACTTGAGCTGTTACAAAGAGAATAAAATAACTCAGCAAACAATGCAATCGATATTAAATATCAGTTACCAACTAACGGAAAGATCTCATTTAACTTACTAAGGATTCAGCACATAAAATTACTAATATTAATTTTAAAATAAAACAAGAACCTAAAAGTTAAATCAATTTATCGTTTACATAAAATGTTTATACTGAGTGATATCAATGTAGCCAGTGTACAATTTTAGAAATATTGGAAAATAAGTGTGTTGGGTAAATCTACATTTAGAACTCTTTACTCGAATAATTACTTCTTTATAAACTATTTCAAGGAAATAAGATTTGATTGAGTAGTTGAGAAGTTTCTTAGTTTTTCTCTTCATATTCGATAGTGTTTCTATTCTTATTCACTTCAAACCCTTACAACTTTATTCCTCTAGACGACTTATATTATTGTGTTCGAATTCTATATGAACTATATGATTCGCATTATTGCATCCATCTAACAGGATTCATTATCAGCTCGCAAATATCACTAATTAATTCGATATCTGTGTATTAATATACTTCACATGAAACCTTAACTGTCGAATATTTTTGTTTAATTTGGTGCGAAAATTCATATGAACCTTAATCTTGACATTTTCTACTTTATTTCCCGACATGAAATGTCACAGTCAAGAAGAATTAAACTATGTCAAAAATGAAACACATGGTAGCTTATTTCATACTTCAACTTACATTTAAATAATATCGAAAAACATATGACATGAAAATAACTTCGAATTTACTATCATTAACTAAATACTTTTTGATTGAACTACGATAGAACTAAGTAAAATGAAGTGAAGTTGAGGCACTAATCTCTTGGTTAAGTGGAAAAAGAATGTAAGCATGAATTGAAAGCGTAATCGCTTTACATGCATACTAAGTGTCTCAGATATGAATTAACTATAATATACCGTTTTATTTAATTGCCAAGAGTCATTTATCACCTAACATTTAAAAGTCATCATTCATAAACTCAACGCTTAAAGTTTTTTCTTTTTATTTCAGATATGCTACATAGATTCGTCGGTCAGTGACATCAGACTGGAAAACATTTACATCAACTTATTATACCACAACAATAGAGTAAAGAAGAGCACTTCCGTTGAAAAGATGTTTATTAAGTAGTCAACAATAATTCTTTTTTAAAATGAGTCCACTCTGTGTTGATGAGTTTTTATGCTTGACATCAATGAATCATTTTATAAATTGATCAGTGATGATGAATCAATGTTTAATTGTGCTCAAATATTGTTGTTCATGTAGCCAAATTAAATAACGTGCAAAATAAAAACAACTATTACTATTAGTTTAAATATTGATAATATAAATAACATTGGCGTGTATTAGTTAGATTATTATTATAAAAGATATTGTGCTGTTTTGTGTTTTGAATTTGTGCCTATATTAGGTGTGATTGAATAATTTCAAACTTCAGTAATCATTTATCAACTGTAATAAGTCTAAATTTGAATATCTCGAGGTATTGATTTTTAATGTTTACATGCCTCACTTCGTGGCTACGCAGTCAATTAAAATAAATTTGTTGATTAATACCTGTAAAATATATTTTAAAGATTCAGCATGCACAAACATTGTATTATAGAATTAATTAAAAGATTTAAACTTATGAATTTACTTGTTGTAGTGTTGATTGTGAAAAATTCTGTGTACTAGAATATTTACTTATTCCATACTTGGATATAACATCTTGAACATGTGAAGGTGCACCAACAAGACCACCCATGAAACCTGTAGTTAATGCTGCAATAGATTTTAAGGCATTGTTTGTTTGTTCTTTTGTATATTTTTTATCTGTAAATTAGTTTAAATCACAATTGTTGGAAGAATATTAATAAAGATATATATATATATATATATATAACTATATATATATATTTATATATATATAGTTAGGTAGTTAATGAAGAAAATTTTTAAGTTAGTTTCTTTCAGAAATGTCTGTTCATATGTAAACATAATCGAATTATAGTTAAAATTCAGGCGAATAAAGCCGCTCACATTAAACAAATCAAAATTTAGGTTTGCTTATTACATAAGTAAACGAAATTCTACTGTAACTTTTTAATTTTTATATTGTATTCACTACTGATTTAAGAACGATCAACAAAGTCGTCACACTTGAATGGTTATAATTATTGAAGTGAAAGGTACTAGACGGAATGTGTTTGCCAGTTGCATATTATGGTTAAACCATAAAGATTTTATTGTCCAGTTAAAATATTCCTAAAAAATAATTATGGTTAACAAATAGAAGCAGAACAGTGTAATAAAAAAAGGCTAGTGTAATAGAATAAAAAAGTAAAGTTTCTAACCAAATAGTCGAAACTTTACTACCATCTCTTGATTTCCGCTGTTATTTCATAAGCAACCTGAATATTGATTTATGTCTTGTTAAATTAGATGCAGACAAGGTTTGTGTAACACTTAAAATGAAATGACGCAAATAAATTTATCATATGTAGTAAATTTTAAACAATATTCGATTTTTGAACCAATGTAGGTTGGGATTTAGAACTACACTACACTACAACTATACAAATTTGGTGCAGTTTGTTCAGTATGACAAGCTGTATTATTATGTTTTAAAAATAGAGTTTTTCAAACAGTGATACAACGAAGTATATGATGACACTAATATGTATATTTTAAATGTCCTATTAATAAACGTCATTAGTGCTCACTTTTTTAGGTAGTGTGGTAGGAAAATAAGCTATGTTAGAATGTCAGAATACATTTCAGAAAATGGCATGAGTCTAGAAAACGTTAGTTCGATAATATGTATACAATGGGCTGTATCAGTTCTTCATTGACTGCTGCAAACAACTTGTGATTATTTAAAAGATTTATCTATGATTTCACCAAATTGAAAGAATATTGGTAGTAATAGGATTAATAATAACACCAAGTAAATGGAAATATATGAGGAATATTTGAAGCTTTTTTAAATGTAAAAGCCACCATTGACTGAAGTTCTGAATGTACTTGAATCTTAGTAACTTTACCTATTATCTATTCCTCACTAGTTATGTTTGTACAGAAATCTAATCAAAACATAAAATAATTATTTTATGGCATTATAGTAGACTCGTGAAAAAGAATGACTCAATTTACTTACATCTGAATATAGTTTTTAAGCTTGGGATTGAAATGTGCGTTTCGTCTACTGTGAAATATTCGGTGAGGTTCTTTGTACAAGTCAGTTAAGATTTAGAATGAACTTTTAGAATTTAAAGCCTTCAATTTATTTCGATTACATTTGGTAGTATCTTATTCGTAGTATGAAGCTTACAATTAAGTTAAAGTGTAGCTGTGTTTTGCTAATTAATCAAGCGTAGATTGATTAGAATGTCCTGACTGTATGTAACATTTAATTTATTTTCACAAATAAATGTAATCAAAGCATGGTTTATTAACCGCTCCATATTCGTGAAAATGATGATGCAGTTCTCGTTGGCATATATTTTGTTAGCAAATTTTGTAAAATAGACTGTATAACTCTAGCTGACATTTTAAGTTGGTCGCCTTTTTACTCTAAATGGTTTTTTTCTTATATGAAAATTGTGAAATCGAATGGCAGGGAAAAGATTTACTGAACAAAAATCAGTATCATATTTCTTTCCAAAAACCAACTTTTTTCAACTTTATATCCAGCCGTGAACAATTTGTGTTTCAAGATGAAACTTACAAGTGAGTTTTGGGATACGTCTGGTCTATCTATACATTTTGAGATAAGTGTTACTAGTTTTTCAGTAATATATAAACAAGATATCAAAATAATTTATTATGCTATATCGATGTGTACTAAAAATGAAAAATTCCTTTAAAGATTTGTTTTCAACACATCTGTCAGATTTCAGTAAACTAGCAAATATGACAGATGTATGTAATTACATATGCTTACATGCAATCGTTCATGTCTATATCTCTTATCAGGGATAGTAGGTTTATAGTAAATATTTTACCGAAGAATGCTGAAGTCTATATGGTTTCATCGGTTAAAGACTATGTAAATATATATATATATATATATCGTAAATATGACCAGTTTCTCTAGTCGAAGAAGCAAGTGACAGAAAAAATTTCTAAGTTATTCCAGAACCTAGTAAATAGTAATCATCTTTAGAAAGAAATTATCATTTTTTAGCTTCTAGCTGAATACATTGTTTTCTAAGAAAAATGCTTAAAACCGTGGTTATCGAAATAAACTTGAGTTAGTTATTACCAGAAGTGCGATAAAATATTGACTGTTGAGTTCAAACTAAAAAGAATTCTTTACATTATTAATTAGAAAGGAATCTCAAAAAAATAGAACAAGACTATGTAGCTTATATTTTCATCTCTACCTTAAACTTGCCAAATAAGTACATAAGAAGTGTAGTGGATCACTGAAATGAAAGATTAAAAATCTACTTCATTATTTTAGATATACATTTATGACAAAAAGAAACCTACATAAAGGTTTGCATTTGCGTACAACATCACTTGAAACTCCCATTTCGCGGAGTAAATTTTCTAGGGCAAGTATATGTTTCTATTATAAAAAACAAACAAATAAAATCAATTTAGAATAATTATTTGAAATTTTTTTTTAAATAATTTGTTTACTGACAAGTGAAAAATAAATAATAAGATTTTATCCTTCACAATGTTATATTCGTGAAACTTTTACACATAGTAAAACATCTCAATACTTTTTTGATTCACTATGATCTTTTACGTTTGTTTGTGAACAATGTCATTTGTTTTGACCAATATATTTTCAGGTAGGTTTTATCTAACTGTTTATTAGCATACATATGTTTAAATAATGAGTTGTAAATATTAATTGATAGAAAGCAAAATATTATTTATTAGTTAAAAGCATACAATTCATCATATTGTACAAGTGGCACAGATGAAAAATTACTTATTTTGAAATTAAACAACCTGATAAATATCTGAATGAGATTATTTAAGAATATTGCGAGATATTGTTGCTGATCAGTAATAAAAATCTCTCGTCATTGGACACTGAAAGTTAATGAATTAGGGGAAAACTTATTTTCTCCCATATTCGAAAAACGTTTGTCGATTTTTTCGGTTAGTTTGTGATACAATCAATGACGACTTTTAGATCTTACGAAAATTTGAAAGCTCGATATCAACATTATTCTGTTTACTTTCTCTAATAATGACTTTGATGATGCAATCCTGCAAACAGTTTCACTATGTTAGTTGATTTATAAAACATAAAGAAATGAAATAATTAATTCAACATCGTGTTTCATAATTCAATAAGCAAACCTTAAATAAAACATTTTCCCAGTAGATATGCTTATTGATATGAAGACATGTATTTAAACAAATAAATGAACTATTGAGCACTATCTCTGTTTAATAATTTGAAAGATGTATATAGATGAGTTAAATTGATGAAAACCTCTTAATGTATATTTTATAATTTTAAAAGTTGTAAATGATACAATCAAAACATGCATTCGTTACATGAAATTAGGTTTGGAAACGATTTTATAATAGCTATTCATTGTCTACGATTTCCAAGTCATTTTACATAAGATAAAACTGTTTCCATTGAAATTAACAAAATAAAGATTGAGTGACTACAGTTTAGATCACAAATTCATACTGTTCGTAGCTGTGATCGCTCATTTATTAACTCGGTATTTAAGTTAGTTGTATTATTTGATTATGGTCGAATAACTATTTATTAACCCTTAATAAACACAGTATTCAGGGACAAAATAAACCAACAAGTATAGACTGAATAATATTGGCGGTTACAGTATGAACTAATGCACGATCAACCAAACCACAAGTTTCTCAGAATATTTGAAACTGTAAATCACATTGCAATTGAATTCTGAAACTGTTATTTCCTTGAAAATTTCTGTCAGTTGACAAGAAATTTGAAGTCCCTTGATTCTCCTGCTTTGAAGTATTTTACATTGAAGTGTAGGATCAGCTTGCATATATTCAAATTCTAATAAACCGCAAGATTTTCCAGTAGTTATCTGACAAAGTCAAAATATGGCTTAAATCGATACAACTTCTACTGATTATTTTTAGGATTCTGTACAGTCCTGTGTTACACTGATCGTTTCACTCAGAAAACCGGAACTCTATCGCTAATTCACTCTAGAAATATGGCGTAACGCTTAATTTCACTGCACAAATCGACTTTTTTGTGTTGCTTCACAAATAGTCTACCGTAACACAAATCTCTGCATGACTAAAACCAAGCAATTAAATTAAATCAATATACACAGCCTGAAGAAAATAGTCAAATAAAGATCATTCGTCTGGAACGACGAGTTTATTTCTGTTGTCCGAAAACTAGTACCTCTCTATATATTGAAAGATAATTACATTCAAGAGTCAGTAGCTATGCTGACATTATTGGTGTTAGTTTGTAAGGACGTAGTTTGTTAAATAATATCAAAATTTCTTAAATTAAACAATTATCTAACAGAGTAGATCGTTGTGAAATTCGATTTATCAATTCTAGTCAACAGTTGACAAAATATATAACAATAACGTACAGAAAGAAGATTTACAAGTGTACATTGACTTTATTTCATAAATTCTTGCTATGATTTCTCAGTTCCGAAATTATTATATAGTACATTTTTCAAAATATATTTTCTTACAAATCTTATGACCTCCAATAAAGCTTATCCAGTGAGAAAAGGGACAGCTAATGTCACTGACTAATCCATAGATTTCGGTGCGATAAACACCTAATTTTTTTTTTTATGAAAGGAAGGAAGGATAAAAATAAGTCATATTTTATCTCTTTCTATTTTGTTTTTAGAACAGTTGTTTGTTGAATATATATATATATATATATATATATATATATATGTATTAAATATGATCAACTATTATTTTCAATATGCTAATTAAGTGTAACAAGAAAGTCCGAATTGTGATATGTCCTGAAAATGTAACAATAAACAATAATAAAAAATTATCATCAACACAATGCTTACGTATATACACAAAAAACACAGTTTGTTTTCTTAATTTTCAAAAGATTTATTCAACTAGTAAATTGAAAGTAATCATATTGGTTTATTGTTTCTAGATAAATAATAATCTTAGAAGAAAGTCAATGAATAAAAATTGTTTTGTTTAGTGTGAACATAGTAAATTAAGCATAATGAAAATCTGTATGTTCTCTGATATCTAAAGAAACATTCATAAAATAAGAAAATATTGAGTATGAATTGATATTCTATCAGTGAATCACAAGTTTTGTCAAACAAAAGATGATCAACCGATTGTTTACTATTATTATTATTTTCTTTATTTTTCTTATCATCACCAGAATTTTAATACTAAAAGTGGCAAACTCTTACAATAACTAGTATTTCAACAAGGAAAGTAACTATTTACGGAAGTTTCTCTTTTTGTTGAAGATCTACAAAACGTAACCTGGGCAAATTTTCTTGAAATCCATAGTGGTGTGAAATACCATGTTGATTTTAGTTACAGTTTACTTTGATTAAGCTTGTGAAGGTTTGAATTTACAAAAACAATAGTTATTTCTTATAATGTTTATTCAGTGAGAAACATTTTGTCTCGTAAAGTAATAACATGCTTGATTAGTTTTATTTAGTTCTTTGTTATGGGGAAATGGATGGATATTTGTGTCCAGAAGAGATGAAAATAATTATATTATTATGCAGCTGTAACATTTGTAATCACTACTGATATATGTATACATACGTCTGAGATAACTGTAATGAATTTTATATAATCAATGTTAAAGACATTTATAGATAGTTGAAATAAGTGCATTATTTTTTTGTCAAATGTATTACCAAAGCTGGATGACACAAAAGGATATTCGGTAATTTGTTAAGGAAGCGTGAAATTTCAAGCAATGAATTCCTTTCGTTCAAATTTAAACTGTCGTCAAGTATTTGTAAAATAATCAGTTTCACATAGTGCACAGATTTATGTTCGTTTTTGTTTGTGTTTATTCGAATAGCACTATATTTTATTCTCTTTTCAAAACATTGAAACTGTGATTTAAGCATCGCGAGACCACCATTAGAAACCTGAAAGCACTAGATGGCCGTTTCGTCCTGGTATGAGACTTTCTTTATTGGTCTTATCACTATAAAACAGAGGCTTACTGGGAATTTAAATAATTGTAAAAGAAGGTGGAACCATAATTTTTTGAACTGTACGATAGTATAATTATATTATAAAACTACTTAAGTACATCAAATATCTTTTAGGTTCATGTCATTTCAGCATACAATTTTTAATATTTCTTGTTTAAAAACAGAACATTTGATTAGAATTCTTGATTGACTATGAAAGCTACTATGGATTATTTTGAAGTCTTTATAAAAATAACCCGATTTTTTTTATTAGAAATACTTCAGAGAATGATTTTGATGCAAAACAGATGTTATTCAAACATTTAAAACAATCAATCCGTTTTAGAAATTTAGATAATGTAAGTAGAAGATGGAGTTAATTTAAGCCATACAATTTGAACAGTACAAAGAAGTTTCCTATAGAAAATGTTAACGGTAACGTCCTACGCTTATATTACCTTTAGTTATAAGAAAAATTAAATCTACTCTACATGTACAAAAGTGTATTGTTCTAACTGTAAATCTACCAGATGTTCTTTAATTCACTTCACCATCCAGGGAGGATATGACGAGCACTGATGTTGAACATACCACATTATGTTTTCTTGTTTTTTATTATTTTCAATCATCTCTTTACGTTAACAAAATTTATATTTAGTTTTCATATAAAAAACTTTTACAAGTATATGTCTGTCATGACTGTCCAATCTTTACAGACAAAATATATAGTACATTTTTCCATATTATCTTCAAATCATTTTGTCTAAAAGAAATACATTATTTTCACATATTTAGGTAGTTTAACAGCCACAAGCAGTTTCGATTGTATGAATATCTTAACGATAAAATACTGTGACTACTTGTTTAGTATTGTATATCATTTTATTTGTTGTCGATGTGTTGATAGTTCAAGCTGCAAACAGAGATGTAGACATTATTGTTTGTAAAGTATCTATTAAGACATAATCAGTGAAATTATTCCTGCAAGTGCATAATATTTATGTTAATATTTAGTATATCAGGATGAATATTAGACTTTCTATTTTACAGATAGTCTAAAACGTGTTTCATACCAGATTCTCTGTGTTCGAGGTATAATTAAATTCAGCGTCACGCATATATATATATATATATATATATATATATATATATATATATTTACTAATTAGCATAGGGTAATTAAATATTGCTGATCAAGTAAGGCTTTCTTCAGTTTACCAAAGTTTAGCCATTAAATTCGTATTACTCATCTTTTAAGAGAAGGCAATGACCTTAAGTAATTATTACGGTTATTTATATCCGGCCAAATTCCATTCTCATGTACACATAGACCAATACAAAGAAGCCATACCTATTTCTTTACAATATCAAGAAAGACGTTGTCCAGTTTAAGATACTAAATGAAATAGTTTTGCGATGATTTGTGAAGAAGTTATAAAACAAATTAAGCCTAAAAACGGAAGAATATTTCAAGAGTATATTACTGAAAGAAAAAATGGAGTTCATGTAAAATTTAAAATCTGTTAGATGTGCTATTTTAAAATAGATGCTGCAGTCTATTTCGAATTTGAAACATAATTACAGACAGTGAGTAATTTTGAGTGATTTATCAACATAATTAGCAGTTGTTATCATCATGAAATATTCGTAATGTCAGCAACCGGCTGCTTTTTTTTATAGAAAGCAGTCATTTTCATTGACAAACAAAATTCCGAGTAGTACTTTTTTTAAGTTGGTCATTTTGAATAGCATTTAATTAGATAGAAATAAATCGAACAAAATGTTTGGAGCACTAAGCATAGTGTGTTTATCTATAGTTAATTATTGTACTGTTTTATGTAGATATGGTATTACAACAATATCTCAATGTGAAGATTACATCAAATACATCAAATATAAAGAATGTGGTATTCCTTGGTGTTTGTACTCACTGCGTCGTTGCATGTTACTTCAACGGAAAGTTAAACCTGAAGGATTTACGTTCAATCCTATTTGAAGTAGGGGGTCTACAGTAATGAATGTCAAGCTACAAAGAAACAAATATACAGGGCTTCTAATTTTTGTTTCTGTAGTTTTCTAGATGGTGTCATTTCATGTTGTGAAAGTGTGGATGAAATTTCTAAAAATAAATCCTAGTGCTTCAAATAAATTTATTTTCTATATTTATTTAGACTAGGAAGTACACCATCAGTTAATGCCCTGTTTCTTCTTAATTCATTAAGTTTTACAAGTATAGTCCTCATCACATCATCACAAATATGCCAGCACCATTGGATGCTCGATCAATGAGCCACAGCTTTGTTTAATAATGCTGTGCTTTTTTTATTCTTTTTTCCCAGAAATAATTAACATAGATATGCATTAAATGTTTTCGAGTTTTGCTATAGTTGATAAAGTTTTGCATATATTTTCCGATTTTAATTAAAGCGGTGCTAGGAAAATAATTAAAAAATACGAAATGCATCAAAACAGATGAAAATAAACTAATTAAACAGTCAAAAATGAAAGTTTTATCACATATACAAATCTAATGATTCTCAGGTTAGTCTAGAGATTTTAAAGCACTTAGTGAATAAAGCAATAACATATTGTTTTCATACTTCCTACAAAGAGGAAATTTAATGAGATATTGATTTATCTCGCGTTAACATGCTTTGTTTATATCACAGATTATCAACCAAAGGTGGATTGCAGTACAAGGTTATCAAAGAAAAAAACAACTGAAGTGATCATACTTCAGGCTGATTAAGTTTAATTGAATAAAGCTGACCTAATTATAAATATAAAAGTTAAGTTAATGATTACCAAGTCGAAATAATAATTGTTGAACAATTTAGTAAATAACATTTATAAGTTCGTATTATAGATGTCAGTCATGCATAAATGTTTGGTGAGTAATAACACTTATCAGTTAAAACAACATAAATTTAAAATTTCTTTGTCTTCTAACTTCGATCATGCTGTATTTTTCTTCTATTTTTCGATAATTACATTTCTCATACATCCTCAACAACTATTACTACTGATCAATGAAATAAATTTTTTATTCATGCTCATTATTTAATAATCAGTGTGAACACTAATCTTATTCTTTAAATTATTTATATATATACATAAAACGCAAGTAGGTTGATCAGAAACGGTTACTAAACTACGATTTTTAAGTACAATGCGTTTGAAAGACTTGATGCACACCACAAATGAATTTTGTTATTATCATGTTGTTTATAAAAGTACTTTCATGAATTATACCTATGTTGTATAATTCTTTGAGTAAATATTTAGTCAGAATTAAATGAATAGTTATGAGGAAGAGTCTACAATCTTTTGTTATTGATATTCAGATATGGAATTCATCAGTTCCTGTTTCAGTATATAGGTTCTGAATAGATTGTTCAGATAAACATTTTAGACACAAGTTATGATGTTTTGAATAAATGACTGATGATAATATGTCCAGAATTCCTGTTTCCTAATGTTTAAATATCGTCAATTTGATGTATCTCCATCTCAGTGTTGATTTTCACACTAAGATTTCATTCACTTTTGTCACCAATATACTTTGCACTTAAATACAGGTGCATCTAAATGGTTAGACACAAATGACTAGGATGATGCGTCCTGCACTCCAAGTCTACACTAAGACTGCACTAAATTTCACTATTTAAATACTAACATATCGACCTTGAGTTGGAAATATTTCGATTAGACATAGATAGCTTATAGATGGGATGTTTAAGACACGTAGTTTAATGTCAATCCTTTCTCAAAATAATGCATGAATTAAGACGTTCATCGCTAAACTTGAGTCCTGTTATGATCCATTGGAGAGCAGAATGTTTTCTACTCGGCATTTATCAAACAGTGAACTCAGTGAACTTCTTTTTGTAAGTAAAACATCAGTAACCAAAGTAAGCCTAATGATTTGAATTAGAATGATGAGTTCATATCTTGAGAATCTACAATACTCATTTTAAAAAAGACAGTTTCTATACTTTACAAAGGTTTTAACGATAAATCTTTTTTCTAACTAGGCATTTTTTGTACTTATATATCAGACAGTATTTTACGTCTGTAATTTACTTAGATACAGATATAGACAGCAGATTTCTGTGATACATTGACAAATATCGATAGGGATCATTGTTAACCAGTAATAAACCGAACCACATTTCACAGCATGATACACATCTGAATGAATAGTTGCAAAGATATTTGTGTAGAAAATATTTTCTTAAATTCATTGACGTTTTTCTTAGTAACCAACTATTGTATTATATGAAAATATATGACGTGAAATTAAATTAGGTCATATGTACTAATCTCAAATGACAGATAAAGGTTTTCAGTACAAACATTGACATGATATTTAACTATACGAAAAATGTAGTTTAAAAAAAAGCATTCTTTTCATAAATACACATATAAAGTTTCAAATAAATCGATTTATTTTCTGACAGTTATTTGATTTGCACTTGAAGTTAGTTAAAAGGCAACCCCAAATAGCATCGATTCAATCCATTAATCAGTTTTAATAAATAATCACTTATATAATTTTTTTTTTACTAGATAAATTTATCTTTCATTATCATTTGTAGATAGAATTTTGTAGACTATGTAACTGAAAATCACGTACAACATGAAACATTTTAATGGGTGAATTGATGTGCCATTCAATCTATCATTAGTGAATAACTGAAAATTTTAAGAGAATGATTTATTTATTTGGAATGATAATTTTCAGAAAATCATTTATGAAGAGAAAAGAGCTATAATACATGTATACAAACATACTGTCAACATTTTGAAGAAATATATATATATATATATATATATATATATATATATATATACGCTCTAAGATTTAGATGTTTGTCGAAACATCATAAATTATTTTATTTCTGTTTAGTTATTTTAAAAATTATTCAATTTATGCTAGTTACTAGTTATCAGCTCTAAAAAATTTTCATCATAATAAACAATAAATTTTAGATGACTTTTAAAATATAATTCGTTCCCCCACCGATAACTTATGTACTTCAAAATAATATGTTTGATTACAACAACATTATTTGCGTCAGGGCTGTAAAAAAATATCTAGTTACAATGAAAACACTCGTAAATTACTTATTTTTACAAACAGTTGTTTAAAACTTCATAGGAATTATTGATAATAGAGAGAGGATAATTGTTCGTTGATACTTTATTTCATTTGACACAGTCATATTATTCTGAACTAGACTATTTAAGAAAATATATAAACATACATCTTGCATTTCTTTTTCTGTACGTATAACTTCCATTTTTCTGCCCAAAATCCTTCTTGAACGTTTTTGCATTGCGATTCGAAATTCATACTGCTGTTTCTTGTGCATCATCAGTGCTAGAAAAACAAAAGAAAACTAGTTTAATTCAGCTTCAGTTTAAGCATAAACACTAAATATCCTTCGTCCAATACGTGAACCGTTAGTATATGGCTAGGGTAACTCATTGAACCGTTAATAGCCAGGCATAGTAAATATATATATTTGATTAGTTAGTTAGGTTTTTGAAACTATTAATTCGACAAGCGAACCCATCTTTAAGTAAACTATTGTATTGTAGACGTCCATATGAGCCCATGAAAAATAAAACTAATGACATGTAGGTAATTCTTTTTTACACTGACTGATCTTAAATAAGAAGGAACGATAATTGAGGCAGCAAAATAGTAATCCACTAAATTTTGAGGATTTACTCTAGTCAATTCAAGCTTTATTCACTTTAAAAAAACAAATTTATATGACGATCAAGAATATGGTCGGTTTCGGAGAAAATATCTAGAGAAGCATAAAGGAACAAAAAAAAGGTCAAAATTTAGGACTAGAAACCTGTCTAGAATGAAAAAGTTATAATTGCACACGATTTTCCTATAAATAAATGTTAAATGGTTAAAGATAGTTTAAAATAATGATAACTATATTGGTAACATAATTATTAAAAACACAAAAAGAGACACAACCGAAAAATTCAAAGTTTAACATAGCAGTGAGAAATTTAGAATTGTATTTTTCAAATATATTGTTTTGTGATAGAAACTGTTTTAGAAAAGATTTTATAGCTTTTCAAAAAGATAAATATTTATTTCAATATTGATTGTTCTATGTTCTAAAGTGTAATTATCATTAAAATTCAGTCACAAAAATTTGTCATATAACTAACGGGTATATTCATTGGAAGTAGACAAATGTCAGATAATGATAGCCTATCAGTAGACAGAATCAAATTAATTCCACTTTTACTTATATTCGAAAAGATATTTTGAATCTAAATACCTTGAATGACATTTTGTGTAAAAGTTTTCCATTGGTATTTAAATAATATCAGATTTGTTAGTTGAAATTTCTCAAGAATCACCTTTCATATTTTTAATTTCATCTTCATAAAATAGTATTAAACTGACAATTGATTAGGAGATTATTCAAACCAAATTAGTGTCTCTCATATCCTAAAGATTTGTGTTCATAATTTTGTGGTTTAATTATTTTTTTGCAAGTCAACTGAATGTCTGATACGAAAATTTGTCTATGATGTACATAATGTTCGTATTGAAGAATCGAAATAATTGGATTTAATTAAAAGTTGATAAGTTCGTTGATCGCCAACCATCTTGTATGTAATACTTCCTTAAATTGAACACTTTATATATAAATAAACTCAACGTGCTTATTCATTGACTGGCCACAGTGTCTAGACCTTTTTGAACGCACCAATGTTATGTCTTTAGAAATGCTTTTACCTGAAACCATCACTGACTGACCAAAGTGAATAAATAATTAGAAGTTAGTTCAGTGGAGAATCAAGTAATAAATAGGTGATCAATAATAACGAAGACTGAATGGACTGAGTTAACCGGTACTGTTCAGCTGCATCATATTTTTTTTAACAATTTTGCACCAGACGTTCTATTTGTCAGGCACTAAATTCCATTACAAAATTTCATGAAAAAATAACAAAACTTAGGTGTAGTCTAAGGTAAAATGTTTGAACACATCATTAACGTGCGTCAAATTCTAAATGATATATTAATGAGGAAATAGATCAACCGAGCATAGATTTAATGAATCAGTCGAAAAGCGAATTTTGGATAAAACCAAATTGTGATAACAGAACTATTTGAGCATCGAATTCTCAGTTAAGTAAATACTTCTGCGATAGATTAAAGATATATTTCTGCGGAGCTCCTACCCAGTCTTTACTAGTACAAACGTTTAAACCCCTGTTTTGTTTTATGCAGTACACAATTTCTTCAAGGCTATTTTTCTGATACTAACAGCATTCTAAACTTCAAAAATTAAAGGGCTTTAATGTCACATGCCCACTTAAAACACTCTGCATTGGAGGGGACAACATGGACTATGATTCTTCAGGAATGTACATGCCTAGTCCACTCTTTAATTAAACGAATTTGAATTAGACTATAATTTTACAACAGAAGAAATGAAAATCTCACTAATTCTGTTAAACGAACTTTCTGAATTTAAGCAGCACTTGTATAAAACCCCTGCAGAATTAATTGTTTTATTTTTTACTGCTTTATCAGTTCCTGAAAGAAATAATTCATCACATATCTGCAACATAATTGGAAAGTCAATTTGTATTCTTAGTTTATTAGAATTTATACATTACGTCAATTGCTGTATGTAAACATTCGTTCGTACTTTTGACAACTAAGCATTACGTACAGTATGCAAGCTATGAGGTTTAAAAAATAATATGTATTCACTGATGTGACCCTTTTCAAACTAGAGAACTGTACTTGGACCTAATTTCAATATCAAACCGTTAATTGAACCAGTTAATAGGAATCGATTCCAAGGTTGGAACTAGGTGAAAAGTTAATAATAATATTTTGTTAATATCCCAATGAGTAGAAATTTTTAATTCTGATCTTTTTTGACCTGATGTAAGTCAATTCTTTAAAGTAAACAAATTAATAACCGTAGTCGATTGACATAAATTTAAATAGTAAGAATAAAGCAACGCAAAGTTTTAATGATTCAATTGTAATCGTAATAGGTTTGAACTTATGTCATGTCATGTCATTTTTGGTCATAGTGATTCTGTATGAAACATCAATCTGTTGATCTGCATGCATGATAGTCTATTCGTAATTTGTTATGTGACGTAATTGCGTCAGATTTTTTGTGTATAGACTGTCTCCATAATGAATGGAATCAAATGTAGTTATCAGAGAAAACAGTTAAATGAATGGTCACGCTTTCTTTCCTTATGAGGGTAGAGGGAATTAGTATTATATGATATGTATCGTCTGCTCGATTCGCTTAATTGTTGGAAAAATTTTTCTAAATTATTTTGATGTTCTAATAACTATTCTATGATTGCATTGCCGATATAATTTGCAAATTCTTCAGCTCTAAAAGGTTATTATGGGGTCTTTTTGTGTAAATTAAGTGTTCCCTTCCACGATTTGATATTTTGGAAGGAGACTTTCTAATATGGAAAGTACTACAATTGATGCAACCTTATTTGTAGACACAATTTTGTAAGATGTATACGAAATTTTATTTTATCCTCAACTAAAGCGTTTCGAAGAGTTTTGGTTTTCTGGGAACACTTTCTCCAGTCCTGAGAAATTTTTCAACAGAATCTTCTTAATAATGAAAGCTTGTTGTTCACTTATCCCAGCTAGATTAGTGGCCTAATGGTATTGTGAAAAATAAGTTTGGAAGAGATTTCATTGTTCAAAATGCGAGATATTCTTGTCATGATGTATAAGACTGCTTATGTAAACGTTTTGCTAGAATTAGCTGTAGAATTGAGATAATCTCTAGAGTACTGAGAGATTTTTTTAGTGTATTAAAGTTTATTATTCTTTCTACTACAACAGTTTCATGAGTACGGAGGGTTCAGTTCAAAAGATTATGAAGCATACTCAAATCATTAGAAGTAAATTTATTTGATGTCTCCGTTTACTTTGTTCTCAATCTTTTCCTATTACTTTATTTCCTAGATTTCGATGTAGTGAAAATATAATTCTTTGGGAATCAAAACTCTGATAAGCGTATCTTAAGTTTTGATGTGTTCACAGTATTAAACCAATGTGGATCCAAACTTTTGAATGACTTCTTGAAGAAAGATACATGATCTACTTTGAGAATAATGGATAAAGCTCTGTGGTAGTTCTAATGGCTTGAGAAACAGATTACAGGTAATAATGTTATTTTTCAAACAATGTTTATCAAATATTCAGTGATTGTATCATTTACATTTGTACTTGGATAATCGGATTCGGTTATTAATGGGTTTACACGTATCAGTGCCAAAGTTGGACGTGATGGTTAGTTGAATGAATGCAGTTTAGGAGCGTAATGCTATGAAAAATGAATTTTATACGGCATTACTCATCCTTCCCAAACAAAAATAGACACCGTAAGATTTAAACATGCATCACAACAATTCAAACACAAAAGCCTAAATAAGTAAGTATTCAATTCATATTATTGTAAAACTTGGTTCAATCAATTAGTGGTTTAATGTGACTTCAAGTTGAATCCGTTCATTTCTTGTTTGATAAATTCCTAAAGCGCTTTATGCACAAAACATACCTTTTAACCACAGCACAAAAAGTAAATGACTATAAATGAAAATATATACATATATATATATTATCGTCTTTATCTGCGACTATAAATGATTCATCAAGTTCTGATATAAAGAAAGGAATTTGTTAAATTAAGACATTTTTTTATATACTTAACAAGAAAATAATAAATTTATGTATATTTCACAAAATCACTTAAATCAACCACTTCTTGTTATGACTATCTCCAGCACATTTTTCATACTTTCATTTAATAATCAAATCGAAGCGTAGATACATCTTTCCCAGGATAAAAATCATTTGTTTAAGTAATTATGAATAAATGATTATATGATCAGTCACTTCACTCGTAAAACGGTTTCGAATCTCCTACCATATTCTGTCGTTTCACTTAAAGAAAGATATATTACTTACGCAACTGAACGAATTAGCTATCCAATCATATGTAAGTTTTAGTGACAAAATCTATGACTTCATGATCATTACGTAATATCAGAAACTAACACTTCAATTTTCAAATGAAAGCTATATATAGCAATAAATATTTTACTTCTTAAACCTAGGTTTTAGTATCGGACGAAGTATCGTGAACGAATCAATTACTTATTTCTGGCGATATTTTTCTCAATATCGTACACAGTGAAATCTCTTTGTTGTTGAGTTTTAGTCATTTTGCTCAAGCAAATGAGTATATGTAGAGTAAAGTCATGGCTCGTTCGTAATTTAGTAAAAAATGGGACCTCACTCGATAAATTCAGCGAATTTTGTTGTTTTCATAAGAATCATAATCTTTCAGTAAAAAGACGATTGTGGTGTCATAAAAAAATGAAGTGAAACGAAATACTATGTGTTTGTGTTGAGAGAAAACAATAATTTACTTATCAGCTTACCATTTATTATACGAATAATCCGCCATAGTAGTAAAACAACCATAGCAGCAGCAGTTTCGGATACATAACGAACATACAGAACATCAGATGCTAAAGAGGCTACTATAATTGCTCCATCGAAATACTGAAAAAGTAGAAAAAGCAAGTTGATAATTCAACATTAATTTTATTTCTTTTTGAAAAGCAAAGTTATGAAATACCAACTATTTTGTTTATCAAAATAAAAGTTTATATTTTTTATCTTATTACGTATATCCTGAATAACAATACAATGACAGTAAATGCACAAAGAATGTTGAAACAATAATCTGGAAATCGCAATCATCACAATTATCAGTTTGGGTGAGTAAATGTAACGTAGGCAGTAAAGCTATTGTCTAGTAGAAAATATTCACATTTTTTTAATGGTTTAAGAATTAGAATAGCGTATTTCATTCATACAAACATGAAATCTCAAATGTAGTCATTTTGCTTTACATTTTATGATATGTTGTTACGGTTTGATTGTTACTATTTTTATGGAAGTGTAACCGAAAATAAAATGGACGGAGACGACTACATTTTAGTCATACATTAACGACGAAGTGCTCTGATTTTTAAATCAACAAAAGCATGAAAGCGAAATACAACACATATGACTAGGCTCAGTTTTTAGCTTAAGTGCAACATAGTTAAGCCCAAAGACTCGACAACCACCGCTTATACTTATCTGTAGAATTGATAAATCCAGACACGAACACTAATCAGACTATTTAAAATTAATATAGCATTCCGAATTATTTTTGTCACTTATTTGCTTTCATTCATTTAGTATTTGGCTTATTAAAATTAGTACTGTATGTAGTAGAAGTAAATATAGATATATGTCACTCATTCTGACAGAAATCGAAGAGGCTTAATTGAAATTTTGATATGTTTACTATTTCTAAGCTTATAGTTTAATATCTGTTATCATTTATTTTAAACAGAATTTTTTTCAAACAATAAAATAGTGTTTATATTAAATTATAAATTTCGGTTCTAGATTTTTTAACATTTCATATGTCTGTTTGATAAAATTATATCTTTTATTAACAGCAGTCTATCAAAAACTGGTATTTGAACACTTGAATCCAAAAACACATACGACTCATCAGTACATTAGGATTTTGTAAAATAAATGATAGAAATACTTTGCAACATGTCTGTTACTCATTGAATTCTATAAAAATATATTTTATCATTCATGAGTAAAAGTTGAATAAAATGAACAGAACAACAGTTCAGGTTAACAAGGTTAGCTATGGATATGAAGACACGTTTTCAATATTCGTAATCATTATTAAAACCGTATTTGGTGGATATCCTTTTGATAGTTTATTTGTTTTGTTATTCATTATTTGCACTGAACCGGCAGTATAGATGAAATCAGAAATATCTTCTGGGGTCATAATCTTGTAACTCAAACAATATTGTTTGTCTTTGTTGCGATAGTGAAGTAAAAGTAAAACTTTTATAACTATTATAATGAATTTGGTCTTTTCCTTTCAATAATTGCAATCATGTTATTTCATTGAACAGTTGATTGTCAATTTTAAGACCTCATTAGATATATTTCATTTCACTTCAAGATCAACAGCCCCTATTATTAAACGATCTGCTATCACTTGGTCTGGTGGATTTTGACCTACATTTTTTATATTAGAAAACGAAATTTACGAAGCTCTGTATTTACGGAAAGTCAGATATTGCAACACCATGTTAATGTCTTACGATAAAATCTTTGTTGACTGATTGGTACAACAGATGTTTCTGGATAACTATATCATAACATTTAACTATTGAAGTCATGATTGAATCATTGCAAGACCATTATTAGAAACGTGGAACTACTGGAAGACCGTTTCGTCCCGGAATGGGACTCATCAAGCTTGAGCATCCACGAATCCTGCCAATCACAGGATTCTAACTCAGGACATTTAACTGTGATTGGAATAAAAAGGCTAAACTTATTTATGAATGCCTTCACTGTTTTCATTGCTTAGTTTACAAAAAGTTGTCTAACTAAAGTTTCGGAATTTCCATAAGCGAAACCAACCGATAAAGAGTTGCTGTTTACTTATGAATCTCTCATTGTTTTTCTCAAACGAAAATTGATAGTAAAAGCTCAGTACATATAGATCTAATTCAGAGAAGTTTCCAATAAAAACTCAGTACACATCAGCAATAACAAATCAGGAACAAAGTGTCAGTCATTGATTTCAATTAGTTTTTTTTTAGTATACAAGGCTGTTTAACGTAGAAAAACCGTTCAAACTTATTATCATTTGTTTTGTCTTGTAACATTGTCATATTCTATTCATCTCTTACATTTAAACTGTATATCTTAAAGTATTCTTTATGAAGTACCACTTCATTTCATTTAACTGACTGAGTTATATAAAACCAAATTTATCACATATTGTAAAGATATTGTAATAGCCAAATTTTCACGTGTTTATCAATAAATATTTTATACAATTAAATGCCTTATGTAAATATCCTATGGAATGCTGATTTTAGTTTGTGACAGTAGAAAATTTCAATTATACAGGCAGAAAAACAACCAAATTTTAGTCATAAAATCTAATGTAAACATTTTATTGAAATGTCTGGTGACAATCTGGGTAACAATTTTACTTTATTCTTTTTTTATCTCCTCCGTAGTATTTTTTTCCAAGTCTCTTTGCTATTTTCTTTCTCATTTTGAAAATCAAATGATGGCATTTGTATGTTTTTTTTCAACGTAACTCTAATATGTTTTCGTCTTTTTTTTCTGAACAGCATATCACACTGGCTGACGGAATTAAAAAAGACGAGTTAATACAAAGTCTTGCATATTTATTCAGTTTGAACAATTGTTAAACATTGATTGGCATCTTATTTATCACGATAAAATTGTACTGCCAGATAAGGACATTTGCCAATCAACTATACAACTTGTACACATTTTCATCATTATTGTCTATATGTTCTTAACTTGTATTATAGCTTACAAATAATAACCTAACTAAGTAGGTAGACGTGTATGGTGAGTAGTAATGGTCAAGATAAGCAATAAATTTTCTAGTCAAAAGGAATTTTGTAAATTGGTTATTTGGCAACTATATACTTAAACTAGTAACCTTATTAACTATAATGATGAAAATAAAGGCCAGTTAACTTCAAAATGAAAAAAATATTTTAAGGGTGATTTATTATTCCGAATAGATTTTTCAAAATCTTTTTCTCAACAAACTGATAAAAACGTCGAAATTTATTCATTAGGTGACATTTATTCACTACTTTTATACTGTCTATGTGATTTAATACTCTTGTAATGCTTTAAACATAAATGTTAACGAAACATAAGATGCCTTGTAATTGCTATTGGCTACTTGAAAAATTCAAGACACTTGAATCCGTTAGACACAGGAAGTGAAGGATATTAGGTTTGAGTTTTGATGTGATCATCAACACCAGTAAGAGTTAGCAGGTATATCTTGTTAGTGAGGTTAACTTCGAATGAAAATCATGTCTTGGCTTCTAATACAAACCAAAGTCCACCTATTTTAAAATAGATGACAAAGTGGGTATAAGAGGTAATCTACTCAAGACATTCATTTATCGATAAATATTAATTGAAGTCTAATCCTAAGTATCCACAGCAAAACAATTCAGACCTTACTAAAAAAATGTAAGTTAAGTATCCGCGAAACTGAAGTTTAAAGCAGAAGTAAAGTATGCTAATTTTCAGTCATGTGTATGTTAGTTTGGTAAATCGAAATGTCATTCAGTTATAAAAGTGTTAGTTTTGTAATGAAGTATTGCCTAAGATAGTTTCATTTAATACTTATCGATTCGTCTCGAGCTATTCCGTTAAGAACTACTTTCTGCTTAGGCAATAATAGTACATTATACTTATGCTTCTTTAGCTTTCTTTTCACATGCAAAAAAGATTTCTTATTAATGTAAGTAAAAATAAAACGGCATGAAAATGAGACATAATTATATCGTTTCATGATAATATGGCGTTTCGCTTTTATTGACAAAATATAAACACATTATCGAAAATGTTAGTGGTTAATTCCTTTTAGTCAGAAATGATCAAAAACAGTGCGTACATATTTTACTAATCATTCAATCAGAAATCATTATTTTCGTCAAAAAATATGTCTCATATTTGTAAATAATTGATTTCCTGTCATTTGTAAACAAGGGATTTTTTTTTAATATCTTTTCGTAAGTAGTCATGCATAAATGATAATGTTTGGATTAATTTTTCTTGAAACTTGATTGTCGTTTTCGGGAAAAAAAACTATATGATTAGTCGACTAAGAAATTCTTAAAAATTCTTTGTCTTGATTACATAACATTGTTTTGTGCTAAAAGTTTATTTACATTAAAACTTTATTTATAAACAGACCTGTCTCTTTAACTGCATTTTAATTTAGTATGAGAAATATAGTCATTGTTGTTCAGGTTTTCCTTGCTTAGGAAATGGTTTTGATCATATTGAAGCAGCTCAATGTCGTGATGAACTTAGCCTAATATTGAGTGATTATAAATGTTCACTAGAAAGGTCTGAAGAAGGATTCTAAGCTTGCATGTAAGAAGTAAGTGCGGGACTGAGATAAGTAATGTTTTAATTCTATTTGAGTTGCTGTCGCAAATAACCACAGACAAAGAAACTAATAGTAAATACTTCAGACTGTAAATTATCTCCTGTAAATAAAGCTTTATTGCAGACAAATGTTTTTTTATACATTAGAAACAGAAATATGGATTTTATGCAAACGTGCGAACAACAATCAACCTTTGGAATGACCTTGATACATAGACCTTTCGCTAAGAAACAATTGCAATTTAGAAAAATTCACCGGCGTTGATTGATGCAATATTCTACTTATTGATAATAACGTTATTAGCAAATTTTACAAACAGTAACAGAAAAAGCTGGTAAAATTCTATGTTATCGATTTTATTATATTTTACAAAAAGAAACTAATCTCATCTAAATGATTAGTTTAAATTTTATAAACAGCTGAAAAGACCAAGCTTCAACTATTTCTAATAAGGATAAAATGCGATATAGAAAAAAAACTTGTTAAATTGAGTAGAAAAATGAATTTAATGGACAACTTTTGATTAATTTACTAATTTATTAATTTTGACTCAAAACAATTACTTGTTTTGAAGAAGGACATACAATGATGGTATAAGAAGTGAAGCATAAAACATAAACACCATTAATATTGATGACAATAATAAAAAACAATTCTGTTAAAATAATAATAACAATAATGATATCAGCTGTTAAATAGATTCTAAATTTTCCTCCAACATTTTAAAATTCCACAAATATCAAAAGAAAGCTTAACAATATTATTATTGTTTTTTTTAATTTCATCCTATAACTAAATCATTTTTGTGTCCTTCTAGAGAGATTAACAAAAAGAAAAGTGGAGAAAACAACCTTTTGAACAGTATGTTGTCCTTTAATTGTTATATGTTGACTTGATGTACTTTGTAGATAAGTTTAGTGGGTAAGAGAAATGTATGAAAAAACAGTCTTATATAAATAATAAGTACTTTAGTGAGTCACTGTTTAGTTTAATTTCATTGTTAGGTATTACAATCACTAGTCTAAAATTATTGTATTATATCGTTAATGTCCTAATTATTTATTTGATTCTACCATTCGTTTTCGTTTGTCTCGGCAATTGAGATTTAAGATAGTAGGGCTTAAGGAAGTTATCCTCTGAGATGTGCTTCTGATTAGCACTCCGTAAAAATTTTCAAATTAATGTGATTATCTTTAGTTTAAATGAAAAGATTTAACACTTCAAGCTCATTTGTAATATGCATTTGATTTTGTTATGAAAATTAAACAAATATATAGTAGAGCTAGGACATTATAAATATTGTACACTTATTTCATTTATCCAACAGTCAGTTTGTAATATTTGAAGTTAACGTTCAGTTTTAAAAGATATGACAGTAAAACTATTTTTCTACGGTGGTCTGTCCATAACAGCGAAATTTTTGTTGTTAATATTATTATTACTAGGAAAGATTTTCTTATATGCTCTGAGACAACAACAGCGTAGGCAATGGAACCTGCTGCGTTTCATCATGCAAGTAAAATTTTACGCAATTTTCTATAATCTTTCAGAAATATTAATCTACCCATTTACTGCAGAATTGTGGAACCCTATGTAAGGAGCATTTAACAGTCAAATAAAATAAATAAAAATAATTTGTCTAAATTAATCCTATGAGTGAAAATTTTTAACTATATCTCATGACATCGCAATTAAACTGAAATGTTTTAATAACGAACTGTTGTAATTTCTATGTATATGAAAGACTATAGGCATACAATATTCTACGTTATTTCAAGTTTTGCATCATGTTTCGGTCAGCTATAAAATTATTTTCAAATAAACCTAATCTTCAAAAACTGTTTTTTGAATAAAGAAGGAAATAAAGGACTCCCAGCGGATATTAAGTGCTTTACGCTACTGAAATTTGAGCTGTACACTTTGGAAATATGTAATTACATTATGTCGTTTAAAATTGATACATCTAATTTTTTAAATCTATAAATTTTTTCATCAACTTGAACAGTTATCAGTATAAATTAATAATTAAAATAACAATCCCAATTCATTCGAACTTTTTAAATTACAGTAAACGAATTCAGAATTGTTATTGCAATGAATCTGTTGATATTTTCAAATGTTGAAAAATCTAGAACTGGAATTATTTTATGAGACAGTTAAAATTACGAAATCGGTAATGCAATCTAGGGGAAATAGTAGCCTGATTATTAACTCAGCTAAGTGTTCAATTAAATTCTATCTGTTATATGAAATAATATCAATTCGGCATTGGACAAGTGAATGAGGCAAGTTTGATGCAACTTTGAAATAAGCAAGAAATAACATTGTCTATGAAAATATTGAGCAGGAATATTAAAAGGCAGTCTCATTGGGTCAAACCTATAGTAGCAATACTTGTCATTTTATCTTCACTTAGCTTCTTAATCCAAAGAAACCTTGAATTCTGAAGAAATCACATCTTTTGAGAGTAATTAAGGGATGCCACTTGTAATTATCCAATATTCCTTTAAAAGTGAGACTGGAATCTTTTGAAATCACTGTCACAACTTGAGTGTTCATCAACAAACCGATAATGATGACCGCTGTTATATGACTGACCATTAACTTTATGATTAGGAGACATTGGTAATAATCTTTCATAAGAACATGAAACCAAACTCAGTTCTTAAAAAATATAAATGAAGTGAGATCAATGATGAACATGAGTTAAAATGAAATGACTGTAGTTTCTGGCAGAAACTTTTTAACAACGAAACTGTTTTTTTTTTGCTTTAACGTATGGATGAATCTATTTGAAACTTTAGATTAGCATTCAATGTATGGTTGTGATATAACATTAACAAGGAAAATTTAGTAGTTCATCAATATACTTGAATACTGTAAATTTTATGATCGTCACTAGGTATGCTTGAAACTATTGCGGGTTCACCTCAAACTATAAACTAAAACGAGACAATGAACCAGCGTCCAGGTAGGTTACCCTGATCTACTGACTAATGAAAAGTCTTGATACAGCGTAGAAACATATATTCTACAAACACCCAGAAAGCACAATGAATTCAAGCACACAAATCGCGTTTATTTATACATCGTAGAAACGTCATTGGGACAGTCATAAAAATAGCATATTAAAATACACAGCAACCAATCCCAGCCAAGGATTTTCCTGGTGGGACATGAAATCTCAAGGTCAACTGATCGGTCCATGCTCGGAAAGGTATAATCCAAGATAAGGCATTAATCAAGCGAGTTCTGGGGATCTAACGTCTCCAACAGAATCAAACAACAATTTATTGACAGTTTGCTTAAATTTGTACTAACTTCAAAAATTAAACTTAGAATTCAGGTTTGTTTGTGTCACATCTCTTGAGATAGGTAACAATAAATTATTTTAGGAGATGCTTTTTTCAGTGGATAGTTCCCAAGTTTGTGATTTAGGACCAACAATGAAATGATTTTGGAAATAAATAAAACCAAAACATGATAACCTGTTAAATATTAGTTGTTACTGCATTGGAATAAATCCTTATTTGCTATACTGAACTTTTTTCAATAATTTGTCTATTGAAAATATACATCCATAAAGATAGGTGATTTAGTGTTTTAAATAATCTACTGAATATTTATATTTTCCTAATAAAATGAAGTAATAAATTACGGAATCCTTTAATAATATTTACTGTCGCCATGTTAAGTACAAACACATTTTCTCAGTTAAATTAATATTGATGTGTTATTCATTTCAACGGTCATTAAGACATTCATCTATACCCTTGCTTTCGCATGTGAGATATCAGTCTTAGTAATAATATTCTAGTAATTTTTACATAATTTCTTCTTTGAAAATTTCGATCGAACTTCTATGATCTATCTACTTGAATCTTCACTAAAACAGAAGAACAGTACTTGCTATTTATGTTAGATGAGTTTCAACGAAACATTGGCAAAAATATAGTTCTCTTTTGGTGACTTGATAAGAATATGAATTAATTGAGTAAAGAAGATTTATCGAAGTTGATTTTATTGCAAATCAAAAGTTTAACTTATAAAACTAATATCTTAACAGTTCAATATTACATTTTATTTTTATTTGTCATCACACTTTTTATCAAACTGTAAAAGTAATATCTAATAAAACATTTCCTGCCATTATTACTTGTTATTTTATTGAGAACCTGTTGAACAACTATTAAAGTTTCTTTCTTTATCTGTTATTTGAGCAAAACAAACTGTTAATTATTTCATGATAAATAAAATATTCGGTCAAAAATTTGTTCATAAATGATTAATTTGAACAAAATAGTATTACATTACGGGGTTGTGAAGATTGTTAAGTTACACATTTTGAAATCAGAAATCGATCAGTCTTAGATCACAATTAGAAACCTTGAAGCACTGGATGGCCGTTTCGTCCTGGTCTGAGACGATTCCTGCACCTCGCAGGATTCGAACCCAGGACCCTCGGCGAACAACTAACTTCTGAACCTCTGGAGGAAACGGCCGTTCGGTGCTTTCAGGTTTCTAATGGTGGTCTTACAATGAACGATTCATGATTTCAAAATATAATATTAATTGACGAATCAAAATTACCAGCAGCAATATGATCAGAGGTAAGTTCATTCGGCTGTTTGTTGCCATATATATAAACGAAACTGTTACTGACAAAATATTGTAGCTTAGAACGTTCATAATGATGTGCGAAGTTGAATGAGTAGACCGATGTGATGTTTGAATTTTCATTATAGTGACATCAGTTAAAAAATCAATAATCAGTCTATTTAGACAACATAAAATTATTATATGCATTATCTAGCTCGTGATCCACGTCAACTTTCATGTTATCTATAATATCAGAAGTCAAATTTATTTACTCATAAAATGACTTTTCAGAATTAGGTATAGCTTACTGTTAAATGTGACATATACACATTTAGTGTTTCAACAGTTTAACAAGTAAACTCACATAACAATTATGCAAAATTTGAATTCAATAAAACAAGTATCAGCTAATTATACAACCATTTTAAATAGACATTTACTTAATTGACTCACTTCATTTGTATCTCGAAAAAATTCCTTTCCAAGGCAAATTAATTTCAACAATACACATAGAAAGAATAAGGCTGTAATGGCAATGCTTAAATAGTGCAAAATTTCGGAAGCTTCATGCATTGCTCTTGCTCCAAGTTGACGTTTTCTTATGTATGAATCTTCGCAAAATCCTTCATTATGTACACCATCAGAATAAGTAATTAATTCACTTACATTTGTATGATTGTAAAAATCAGTATTATTTACAGTAGAAAGAAAAAGTGAGATCATATTATGTAAATCCATTTGTTTTCCTGCCTGAAAGATTCTTGGTTTATCATTTGAATGAATACTTGTATTATTCTTTGTTTCGCTTATATTTGGTACATCACTGATTGACTGTAAATATGTAACTATGCGCTGAATAATATTATCTATTTCTGTAAAACAGAAAAGGTAGTCAAAAGAGTTTTATTTTTTTTAGGTTAGATGAAAGAGCGAAAACTCAAAAAAAAAAACAATTCCCTTTGAATTATTAATCAATTGTAGACATTAGTTTGATGACAACGGTAATAAGCTTTTTTAAATTAATTTACTTTAATGGCTTTTTGTTAAAATAATCACCGATGAAAGGAATAAAACAATTATTTATATTTATATGTCTTCTCATTGATGTTTAAGACTGTAATTGATCAGCTTCTTTTGGCGAATATCAAATCTGTGTAGATTATTACCATATTGTCATTAAATCACAATCATTTTTATGCAGAAATCGATGGTAGTTAACAATGCAATTCAGAATGCTTTTATGAGTAGGAAGATTCAAAGCTATAGATTCACCCAAGTGCACAAAACGTTGGTCATCTGTACTCAGTAGCTAAGCGATTATCACGATGGTGTCTGAACTGGAACATACTTAGTTCCAGCCCTGCACTCAGCATCAAGTCCTGGATGCTAAAACATATAGCTGATGAGTTCCATATACGGCGAAACGCACTTGCTATGTTTTACTACCATCCAGCATTCATTTGCGTTTCATGCAAGCACTTCAACATATCCAAATTATTTTGTTCTACTCTTGGTCCGTATGATGAACTAAATGATCAAGGTTAAATTAACTGTAGGCTAAAACAATACACTGAATTTTAATAACAATGATGTATACACCTATTTAGCTTAATCAGAAATCTGTTTTCATCAAACCGCACGCTCATTCATGATAAAAATGGAAAGCATATAAGATTGTTATAAATATAAACACTTCTCCGTTTGATTGTATTTCAGCAAATTTAAATTTGATGAATATGAGGTCATATGTTTGTTCAAAATTTACAACAAGTGAAACTGAAATTTCAATTAACCCGGATTGGAAACGGATCTAGTTTCGATATTTTTATTACGGATACTAATCGATAATATAAAAAAACCTTTGAAGAATATATTTCTTCAAGCTAATTTCTTTTTTCTTATCACTTTACTTTCATATTTCTACTTCAGTTTTGTCTAGTCTCAATTATTTGCATACTTAATGATTTGTGTAGACTTTTACATTATGATTTGCTTAAGACCTTCGTAACGTTCCTCCATTATTGCTAAATGTTGGATAAAACTATGGTTTGTTATCTTGACAACCGAATTGCAGTTTAATAAATCTCTAACAAAACTATGTAGTAAACTATGTAATAGTTTGAGGGTATTGTAATGTTTCTTATGAGAATAAAGTTTCAGGAGATTTGTATTACTTTATTTTTCAAACTAAATAACTCAGATTTTTGAAGACTGCTTAATCACATAGCTAGTGAGTCATATAGTCGTAATTTTAAATGAACTGTATGGCACAGACTTATAAAAATAGGTTCGTACTTTAAGAATTTTATTTTAAGTTATTTTGAATAGCAAAGTATATCATATCTTTCTATCATTACTGAGTGGCTACCTTTGTAGGGTAAGTACCTGCTATTCGTCAAGGTGCTTAGTGATAATAAGAGTTGAAGTTATGTCCGATTGTTTTTTATCACTTTCAGCTCCATCCCTTGTACGTTACTATACAAAATCGAATATATGACTTAGTATCAAGTGGTTTTAAGTCAGTAGACTACGATGGCACAACAGCGTAACATCGATTAAAACGGTGTTTGGGTAAGCATTGATTAAACATTTTATTTCTAACTTGAATATACCTGATTCACTGTTTCGAAAAGCTCTCATCTTGGAAAAAGTAACCATAAGCTCAACAATCCAAACTGTGTCTACTAAACGTTATTATTATGAGTGTGAATTTCGAAACACTATCGGAATGGATCACTGAACGAACTGTCATGGTGCATAAGGTTGTCATAGTTATTAATAACCGTTTTTAGTCCTTGTTGATCTAGTTCTGAAGTTACATTAATTCGTTACGTAATTGGCGGTTGTTTCATATAGTAAATGTGTTGCTCTTTAAATCGTATCATATCCACTTACTATAAACGTAACTGTCAAAAATACATGCAGCTTTAACCTAACAACTGTTAGCTACTTAGACAGGAAACAATATACAAATCTGATTAGTAATGCTAGACGGAAGTAATTGAATGTAGTGAATTCAAAAAAATGTGTTACAGCAGTTTTTACCTAATAATATTAGAAAAAACTACACGAGCTACCAAAGTATAGCTTGCTTGTTTTGCAGTATTTAGTTCCCTTTACGGTAAATTTTATCCTGCTTTTATTCAACCCTAGTTGGCCACTAATAATGTCCTCACAAAATCAGTTAAATATGAGAAAATATAAAAGAATTGGATATTGAGTATATATATATTATTTGCAAATGTATATTGTCTCGATTTTGTGCATGTAAACGCCACAATATCCACGTTTATTGAGTCATTTGAATTCTTTGATGACTGATAGGATAGACTAAAATGTCGAGATCATGTTTACAGAACAGTGTGTTTTCGTCTAATATTCATCCCTTTTTTAATTCATTCTGTCAATTCATCAATGTATTAGTTGGTATATATTTAGTACAAAATTTTGCAAAACACTGATTTTATCTCAATGTGACATTTATTCAAGAAAATATGTTATGTGCTAATTTAGTGTAAACTTTGTACAGAATGTCATGCGCTATGGTTTTATTGACGGTAAATCTGACTATTTCTCCTATATGTGATAGCTTCTAACTGATATTCAGGTGTAAAAATTCAAAATATTAATAAGTCTATGCTAATTAAAGACCACATGTTCCACAGGGTCAAATGAAATGTCTTCCTAAATCAAATACTGGCATTTTGTTTAACGTAGTTCAAAACCAAAGTAATTTTTCTTTTCCATTAATTCATCAGTTTTAATGTTACAAAAATAGCTGAATTACATAGTTATGCTTTTGATGACTTTAGTGAGAGTTGTTGCGTGCGCACCACTTCTTACTTACTACATTTCAACTATCAGGTTACCACTCATTCTACAATTTAGTTAACTTAGCTTTTTCGTGAGATCGTTTCTACGTAAACTGGAATTATTCTATTCTGAAACAGGGAAAAACATATTAAACTGTCTGCAAGTCCCTCATTACTTACCACCGTTCAAGAAACATTTTATAGATGGTTCATATTTTCGATACCAATGAGAAAGGAAGCTACACATATCCATTAATAATTCATCATCTTTTTCTAGGTGATTTCTGAGGTGATAATGATGTTCATTTTCTATTCGAGGACTCGGATTTGTAAAATTTGATTCCTCTGTGAAGACTTTTACATGATTTGTATGCTCAACTGGAGAAATTTGACTGTTCATAACTTTTTTATAATATGTAAAATTCAATTTCACTTGGGATTTTCTGAACTGCGACTCTTGTTCATCTGAATAACATTGAAAAGGAAGTCCTATATCAGGTGTTGTTATATACATTACAGTACATACAATATCACGAAATTCCTCGAGTTGTGTGCGAAAATTACTTTTATATGCTAGAAAATTATAGAAAAAGATAAATAAATAGAAATAAGTGCAACATTAGCAAACTTAGAAAAAATGCATGTTAAATAAGAAGGCATAAATAACTTTTTAAAATGCGAAATCTAGTTAGATTTTCCGATGAAAGTATCGAAAATCAGAGTATTAAAATATACACTATCTCGATTACGCATGATACTTATTTCTCACTTATCCATTCACCACACATGAAACTTAATGTGATGATCAGTAATAAAACATTGATTATATTTCATATAGAATAGACGAAATATACCTCAGTAGAATCCAGAATGTGTATCCAAACTTAATTTGAATTTATGTAATAAATAAGATCTCATCAGTGATAAGTTGTAACAAAGATTATTAAGAAGTCATTCGAATAATGAGTAGTTTTTTTGTAACGCTTTGATAAATCTAACCATTACATTCACAAAACGTTAATTCACGAATGTGACTGTGAATTCTCTGAATCGCATTTATTCCATAGCTTTTGATAACATATATGAATAATCAAAACAGTTGAGTACTATTATCATTTCAACATGGAACGATATGAGATTTTTTTAACAGCGAATACAGTTAGTCAGAAGTAAATAATGAAATTTTAATAAACAAGATACTAATATTTAGTTTACTAAGTATTTTTTTCTGTAGAAAACTATTCTCTTTTTGTAAAATTGAAAAGAAGGTTTTTAAAAGGTTCTGTATATCAGGATCATTAAAATGTACCCTATTACATAAATTGGTATGATAATTTTTCGAAAATAATTAAATTCCATTAACATAACACTTAACCTTCCGTAAAGGACGTTGAATAAATCTATATGTATTAAGACAGTTTAACTTACTTTGTAGTGATTGTATTTCCAGCACTATTTCACTGATTACTATCCCTGCATCAAGTAATACTAACAGAGACATGAGTATTTGCAGAATATTACTACGAAGACAAACAAGGAAATACTGTCTCCACCTGTTCATGAAAAATATAAACGAACACATAAACTCTTAATTTGTAATAGTAATAGGCAATGAAAAATTTCACTCTAACTTATTCAATGATTAGCTTGGCAGTTTTTATAGTAACAGATAAATACCCTTTTAAATATGGGAAAATAAATGCTTCTGAAAGGATCTCAACTGTTAATTCTAAAATCCTCCTAGAAATGTTTTAGAACAACATCAGAACAGGTACTATACGGTCGTGTGTTTATTGTCTTTAGAGCTCTGAGATTGAGCTTTTAGTCTATACGGCTTATTTTCAAGTTTCTGGATCTCCTTCAGGTTAACTTCAGTCACTAAATAAATGGCAACTTTATGGATTTTCACAAAGTTCATTCCCAAAATCGTGTTTCTTTTACATATTTTAAGTGAGAATAATGTAACCCATCACGATATCATTATCTACTCAGAAAGAACACTTTTAAATTAAATCCTTGTACAATATGTTTCGTCTAATTTACTAAGAGGGTGAATGTTATTTTATCATCCCACTATACACCATTTTAGCGTGATGCTTTATTTTCCTGTTTGTTTTCCCATATGCTAGAAACAAAATATTACTGAAAAAAATTGGTACTAATGAACATGATGTATTTGTAGTATCCCGATGAGTGGAAAAGTTAAAATTTCTTCTGAAGCCACCATGTCTGATTCAATTCATAACTAACATTATTATCACACACATATATTCAGCCTTATCCTTTCACATTACATATACCACATTTTTCTCACCCATTAACAGACACAAATACACAAGCGTAATTCATTTGGATCACCTTGACCGGAGCGACATGACAATGATTTGGTCAGACCTGGGTTTTTGATTGATCGATTGATTGATTGATTGATTGATTGATTGTTTGTACTAAATATTTTTGCTTTGTTCCATTGTACTATTTAAAATTGCATTAATTGAATTTGTTTATTTGTCCTCTGAAGAAGTGGTTTACACATAGTTACGAAATGATAGGAAAATTTTTTTTAGATTTTCAACTCATTAGGATAAAAAGAATATTTTATTTTTATTTTTAACAATCCACTTATAGCTCATTTTTTGAAATTATCAAATCAAACCTTGATAATGACATATAAAATAGGTAATTATTAAAAACTATCAAACAATAACAATTATACAATAGATTCATAAACTATAAATCGATTACAAAAATTTATATAACGGAGAAGAAGCATTTACAGAGCAACCACAGGGATAAATAAAAACCTTATTGACTATTAAAATTTAATACAGAACACAGTCTTAATGTTTTCTACCAACTTCATTCAACAATATGTTAAGAAGAAGCGCTACTAGATGAAGAAAACTGAATTGTCTCAAAAGCGCATTCCAATGCATAAAATATTCGTGCTAGATTAGTGTATTTTAAATAATGCCCTGTTACGTTTGGGGTAAGTTTGCCATAATCAGGTCTTCTATGTTTCTATCAGAGTCTTAATCACTTTATTCTTACTCATATTTCACAACCCAGTAAAAATTGTTATATATATATATATATATATATATATATATATATATATATATATATATAATATCCACACAGTATGTCTTTTACCTAGATCTCAGACTCCAAAATAAGATGCTTACATAAGAACATTTATTAATTTATATGTAAATTAGGTAGCGTGGAAAAACTAATACACTTTTTGACTCAGAATTACGTTTAATTCGTATAAATAAAATCCACTAATAAACTACGGAGCTATTGATTTATGCTAAGTATAAATGTCGGATAAATATTATCTCTTCATATAATTTAGTATTATAATAATCAAGAGATATGTTGACTAGAAATTTGTTTTCCTTACAGATACTTAAGTCATAATAACCGATATATAAAACTAGTTATTGATTTCTACACGTATGATGTTGAAGTATGTTCTGAATGAGGATAACTAAAGCTTAGTGCACCGGAAAAAAATTTAGAATCATTGAAAGATCATATTAACATGTCTACTATATCTCTACCATCAAGAAAACAGATATTTATTAAAGTAATGAAAGCAAACACGATTGAGGAAAATCCGTTGGAACGTAGAAAAAATATGAAATGAATTTCTAGTGAATTTATTTCCAAAGACGGAGCATAAGGGACATGGTTAAATAAGCGACTGAAAATGCATGAATTTCTAACCAAACCTCCTTTATAGTATTGTGGACAGATTCATCTGAAGATGGGTGGAATTGTTTAAATGTCCAACCATACAACTATTGACTGATTTATATAACAAGTTCCACAGTACCAAGTAAAATCGTAAACATACATTAAAGTGACCAGTAATAATGGTCAATTTTTGAAACATAACTGATTCAGCTGAACGAAATCTCCTGAAAGATTCAGACAATCGGTTAGTTTCAGTTCCACGAATGCTCTCCTTAATGAGAAAGTTAGCTTCCTGTATGAATATATTTACGCATCGAGAATATACAGGCCTTATATTAGCAATTGGTTAGTGTCATTTCTACCAAAGGTTTCTGGACGATAAATTCTTTAAATCCAACAAAACCAGCGTCCACAACAGACTTATACATGAGTTCGATCGATAGCATAGGAAGGTAACATATGCAATGAACTCTTAGGTAAAGAGACGAATTCACTTTCTTTATGCTTCGCTAAATGCATAGTTAGATGGCTCTCTGTTGATATCGATGCATGAAAAACAACATGGAAGGGGTAGTATACAAGAGTCCAAAGTTTTGTTACAGTGAGTAGAAAGAATAACCTTATACACTGTCTATCTTGAAAAACTTGAAGATATAATCAAGGAAAATTCATTCAAGTTAGGCATGTTGACAAAGTATGACTTTCATGCTACGAAAATTTGATGTCAAAGGAAAACCATCTGTTCGTTATCATAAAGTTTCAAGAGGAAGAGGTTGCAGATACCTTCAAACTTCAATTATCGAAGTCGATGAAAATGATGTTTCTACCGGCTGAACTACGAATTATATTCCCCAGTTGATACCTGATCAAATTATGTTCCAAAGGATAGATCACCAGTATTAGCTACCTTAATATTTGTTTACGATTTTACCTTATTCTATGGAGCTTGTTAAATTTCCTTCTTTTCAAAGGTTTATCTAACCATCACTTGTCATAGTTGTTAAAATAATCTAATATTTTATTTATCAGCTATTTTTCATGCTTCTGATGATCAACGGAGAAAATTTTTCTTGAGGCGGTGAGCATAACATCAAGATGTAAAGCATTCGACTGGGTTTAAACAAACAGATCAGTAACACTGAACAAAAATTGGCATTGTACAACATAACATTGACTTTTGAAAGTGCAAATTATGTGAACAATATCCTTAGTACCTAATGATACATTAATATAATGACGACTAAATGCATTTCACTTTGTTACTGTTAACAAGATTTATAATAATGTCAAATACACACACTATATTTCATTATCACATTGTGATCTGATAGTAACAAACATTTGACATAAATGGTATACTGCCTCAGTAATTTCAGAAGTAAATTGTTTCATTTTATGATTGAACAAATTGTCAATATTCTAGCCCTAGGTTAGAAATACTTTACCCACTTTCAGAAAGAAAGTATTTGATAATATCATTGTTGAAGAAAAAATGAATAGGATTATTAAGTAATAAATCTTTGTTCAAATGATCATTGTTCGTTTATCTCAAAAAATTAAAAAGTTTACAAACGAAAAGACCTATTCTTAGTTTTAATTACAAAGCAAAGCATTTTTTTCATTCTCAGCTAAGCGTTTTTTAATCGATCGAAAATGGACTTGGGTAAAAATGATTTGTCAACTGTTAATTCAGATAAAATGTTTAAGTCGCCTAAATATTCTTATAGTTCTCTTAATTCACTGAGTGACTTTTTTTCTTTAAATGTATGTAATTATTTGCTGTTATCAGTACTTAAAACACAGTCTCTAATCTAAAACCAAAAAAAAATTAGAGAAATCTAACTTCAACACCTACTGTCTGAAGTAAATTACCAGTTTGTTTTACAATGAATGATAATCATTTAATGTCATTTATTTTAAAAAATTAGTAACTTTATGACAATAACTGATGTGCACCAATGAAATATATATATATATATATATATATATATATATATATATGAAAACATCCCTTTTAATTTCTTTTGTGATAAAACTTTTGTAATAAATCTCGAGAAACCTTAGACATCTACCCCGGTTTTATATAAGATTCCTAGTAAAATGTGTAACAAAAACCGATTCGAATGAGAACTGAACTCATAATATACCAGACAACCTGCAGGAGAGATCTGTCAACTAAATAGTATGACCCAATTAATTACTCTCACATGGAACCCTCAAGGCAAAAGGAAAAGAGGAAGGCCAAGGAACACATTAGGCCGAGAAATAGAGAAAGATATGACAGGAATGAACAAACATTGGACAGAACTGGAAAGGGAAGCCCGGGACAGAGTTGGTTGGAGAAAACTGGTGGGCGGCCTATGCTCCATTGGGGGTAACAGGCGTAAGTAAGTAAGTAAGTAAGTAATTACTAGGATTTCGTTTAACGTTTTTAGGAGTGATTATACATAAATATAATGAACAGAAGTTTATTTCCAGTATTAGCGTTATCATAAATGCATTCAACAAAGAAATTATGTCAACTATAGCGTTTGAACGGATTTATAAACAGCTGCCGAGTTTTGAAATTCGAATGATTGTGGTCGTAACATCCGAGGAACATATAGGATAATAAACATAAACATGTAACTTGAGTATACTTTCTACTCAGTCATAATAGAAACACTGTCTTTTATATTTATATAATGGCAGCTTTGAAATATATGTTCTTTGGGAGTCAATAATTACTGTGTTTACAATTAAAAGACTACCAACGTTTTCGAAATACAAGGTTCTATATCATTATTTATAAGATTGATGAATAAATATAAATAAATGCCATTGTTTTCAGCATATGACACAGGAAAATCTAAGTCTAGTTTTTGAAAAACGATTATTATTCACTAAAATCAGTTTGCAATATTACTTTTTAGAGTGTAGGTATCCGAGAAATCCAAGTAACACTTTTTTTTACATCAAAGATTTTGAGATGTTTTGTATATGTTGGATGAATACAACGGTAGAGAGTACAGTTTCTATCATAAACCCTTCAAAATAAACGGAAGATTTAGTTTAGGGCATTGTTCCGTATCGTATGACCAGTTAATATGTCAAAACCTAAAATATAATTTAGTTATACACAAATAAGATCCATAATTCGAACACAATTAATATCAGAACCTAGTAGAGGAATTATTCAGTCAATTTAGCAATCTAATTTATAATATTATTAATTATTAATATCACATAAAATAAAATTTATTTTAATAATTTTAGAAACTGTATGCATAAAACATTGAAAACTACAAGAAGTGCGTTATCCAATTTTGTAGAGTCACATTTTTCCAACTTAAATAAGAAGCTGAAGCGAACATATTTATAATATTTGTACAAATATTCATTGTTCTGTTTCCAATCCCAGAGAATTATTATGCAATTTTCAAGTAGAGAAGATTAGATCAATCACACTTCAAAACCTTCAACATCAAACTCTTTTTTTCTCTTAAATCATTATTGTTCAAAAACTATTCACATCCTTAGTAAATAAAAACAGATATCCAAGATTTTTGTTGTCATAGACAGGAAAATCTAGGAAGAAGTATTTGAAAACCGTTATTTTTCTAATCTAATCAAAAAATTTGGTAAAAAATGAAGATTTTAAAAGATTACCACTTGATTTTATGAGCGATTTTGGTTCCAAGTACAACCCGATTAAAGCAAAATAATCTCTTAATAAATCTTCCAAAGAAAGTACATACTGTCTACTATATCAACGAATGTTTGTAAATAGAAGAAATTTAAACACTTGTATATAAATATCCTAAGGCTGACTTGAATAAATTAGCTTGAAGTAGATTTTGATATATTTTTTCAATATTCAGCAACCTTCTGTCGTATATTCATCTGTAGACAAATTTAAAATTCGCTACACAATATAGAAACAATTTAAATTAAAAATATCCCACACCTGACTGTTCTTGCATTGTTGCATCATTATCCCATCAATTTATTTGCTGATTTAAAAAGAAACATACCAAATCATAATTGCTTTGTTTTTTTTCTTGACTATTTTGTATTTTATTACAATTATCTGATTTTAACTATTTACAAAATTTGAAATGATTAAATTTCAACCAAATTTGATGTAATTTTACTAGTTGGCTACCTATTTACCTGAATTACGATTTCTTAATTAATGTGTTACATATGTACATGGAGGTAAAGTAAAGAAATAAAGCATTTAAGAGATATATAAATAATTTGTAAAATAAGATTATAAAAATCTACATAGCAAATAAAATCATAAAAATCCAAATGAATCCAATGAATTTAATTGTTATAAGTAGTCAAAAAAGATAGTTTGTCTTTGATGTTCGTGATCGATCGATCTCAGCTGGGTTGCCATTAGAAACTGAATATCTCCGGACAAATGCTTGTATTGTTATGGATGTTGTCAAACTTTTCTACTCACGGTTAAGCTAGATATCAAATTCAGGAACTTAAATTCTTGTGATTGGACAGAAAATCCACTTGCTTGTAACAAATATATGATGTAGGTTTCTTTAATCTTTCAAACCATTTTACTTTATATTCATCGTTGTTGAATTTCAGGAGTTTCTTATGGAATATGGCCCAAATACTATATCGACGAAGATTAGTTCGTAAAGAACACTACTGGAAAATTAAAATAATCTCAATAAAAGCGTTTCTTCTAAAAGGGATGATTGTAACTACAGGAGGAAGAGACCGGACAAACGGAGTCTTGACGACCAGCCTTAATTCAGTAGCTGTAGCCTCAGGAGCAGTTTAGTTTGTAAATTCTTATCAAAGTGATCAAATTTGAATGCCTAGACTTAATTTGTAGCAGAAGTATACAAGGGATCGTAAAAAACGATGCCCGGTATTGATACAAAGAATGTTTTATTTGTGGTTTTTATTTAGTTTATTTGTTGATAGTTCAGAAATGATGTCAATTTTGAAGTCGTGTGATAAAGTGTTTTCTTAGTTAATGATGTCAGATAGGACTACACTCAAGTTGCTTGAATAACTCCATAGAGAAAATAAAATTAAACTGTTAGCATTCAATTTGGTGTTACAGTAATATTGTACAAGATTATACGGGATTCATTTTCAAAATGAACCTGAAAGTTTTAAAAGGAGCGAGATCAATGATTTGAACAGAATAACATGAATTCAGTTTTGTTGTTAAGTTCTGGTTAGCTTAAGCAGCTTTTAATGCTTCAAAATGGAATTTCGTAGTATAATCAACACACTGACATAAATGACCTTGATTGGAATTTATTGTTAACATATCACCAGAAGGTACGAAAGTTGTTAATAAAATCAAGATGCTAATTAAATTCTTATAAATAGATAACACATGTTTGTTATTCTGTAACAATGATAGCATTGTAAGGTTTTATGTAGTGAACAAATGTTGATTAAAAGTATGAAAAAGATGAATAAAGTTTAATTGGCTTGATATCGTTCAAATATTAGTGTTAATAATAAACAATGTTCCGAGAGTTTTACAAATATGAAAGTGATGAATTGACTAACTTTCAGTTAGCATGACTTTTAAAATAGAAAAGGGGATAAACTGAGTAAAACATTATATATATATATATATATATATATATATATATATATATATATATATATATATATATATATATATATATATATATATATATATATATATATATATATATATATAGTATTATTCTGAACTTTGTACAGAGATTACTTTGGAGTTGATTAATTGCTGAAACTAATACTGTACACAAATCTCTGGAACTAGAATCATTAACTAGATGTTCAACAATCGGACTTTCAGTCTGACTTGTGTTTACTTTTGGTTAACCATTCAGTATAGTGCGTGGAAGGACGTGCAGAAAGTAAACTCTTTTTTTTCACTGACATAAACTACTTTGCATGCGCATTTAGTTTGATAGAAGCTAATAGGTGTAAGCCAAAGGATAAGTTCATCTTTAAAACATCTAAGGAAACGGTACCTACTAATGACGTCGATTCCTTGCTTCATAAACGACGATGAGATGGTTGTCACTGACTTCTGTAATAATTTATGAATAGCTTGTACAGTTTTGCTAGTAGTGGAGCTTCTCTATCAAAAACATTACCTTACGGATTTTCTCATCATGAAGTCTATATAAAAGATATCGCGTGAATAACTGTTAAATGTAATTATTTTATAGCCAAACAACATTTATTTTCGACAAAATGATGATATATTCTGCATCAGATTATAGTCTGTAGATAGTTATTGTGAATAATATTGCCATCAGTTATTCAAATAATAAACTATCTCATAAAACATCATAATCCATCCCCATCATTAATGATCTACATTTAATCGTTTTATATTGATCATTTAAGGTCATTAGGATACGAATTTATTTACTTCTACCTAGTAAGAGTCAATATTATTTCATGATAACTGTCAAACAGTAAAACGGTTATTGGTACTTTTATTTAATAAAATCCATTTAGTGAATAATATAAATAATCTTGCAAAATCCATGTCATAATCTATCATGTTGGTATACTGTTTCATTTAACTGAGAAACTACGCAAATTAATCTTGCTCATATTATGCAAGACTAAACTAGTATAATACACCAGAATTCTGATCAAAGATTACTTACTATTCACTGCCGAAGTTAGTGATAAAATAGTCATTCCGAACACTTAACTTGATTACTTTAGTAATCATAAAATCAACCGGTAAAACAAGGATTACTGTGGTTGGTATGCTGTCATTATCATCTTGCAGTTCATTTGGGAATTTTGACTGAAAGACCACACTACCACTGTATTTCAAAAATAAACGTAATCTACAATAGCTTTTTCAAACAAGAAAATTGATTTTTTTCCAAAGTGTGTACATATACGTACTCAGCTAAACACATCAGAACAAATATGACGGTCTATTCATGTAAAATCACATCACATGCTTATTATTGAGGTTGACAAGATTAGATTACTTTACTATTAGTATTACGTTACGAGCTTTAAATCCTCCAAAGACCGCGCGTATCAAATAGATAAATAAACGTCAGTTAAACAAATGGGTTTTTGACATTCTTCCAGACGGTTGACACTGTAATACTCGGATGGACCGCTTTAATTTTAACCAAATGGTAACAATATTATCCATGATATTAAGCGCATAAACACATATGATGATTTGTCATATCCAGTAGTTTAAATCCCTAATGGATTTCGTATCTTGAAGTAAATAATACCTACCCATACTTAAGGAAAAAGGGATAAATATGTACGTGGGGAGAAAGAGCAAAAGAACAGTAAGCCCCATTAAATACTTATTTGTTATTATTTTTAAAAGTATCTACGTACTACACAATTTGTAGTTCATCGTTTCAAGTAAGAATAATTAGTATCAGCTGAGCAAATATTTGGTGCAGATAATGGATGAAAATCCTACTGAGAGAAGCAAACGAGCCTAATATGGAAAATTCTGTTTAAGGCGTTCATAAAAAAATAATGATAACATCCAAAATGGACAATAAAATTCAATATTAGTATGCAACTACATACAAATATATTTGAACAACTTACGTTTTAGGCCTTTTATTTTTTGTATGCCGTAATATTTCATATTCCACAAGAGACAGATCAATATTGTCTTTCACCAGCTGTTTTAGAAATTTTCTACTCCTTGCCCATCCATAATTATATTCAAATCTAATTTTTTTTTTAAAAAACAATAAAATAAAGCGAAATTTTAAAATAGTACAGAATTTGTCGGAAAATGAACTGACAGAAAATCTTGTATATTGTTGGTTACTTATGATGAATGAACCCATATTTTTCAAGAGACCTCACTAGTTACATGGTTCACTTGGTTACTTTGTAACATTAGTAATACATGCCTATGGATATCTTACTTTTTATGATGAGTTTATTTTACCTATATTTGTCATAAACAGAGTTATAAAAATATAGTAGTTGTCTGTCACTTTGACCAAAAATATTTGAAAACATGGTTTGAGCAATGATTACAAACTATTATGATATATTTACCATAGTTAATAGTGCGTTTAGTTATACGTTTCTTTGTGTTTTATCAAAATCTTATACTGTATTACAGTCGACATCTAATATAAAACACTGTAATATAAAGTTCCCGATTAAAACTTCTTTATAAATTGATCATTTAAAATGTATAGCTTCCCATTACAGTTGAAAATTGGGCTGCAATATCTGCATTATGAACCTAATTCACTTATTTGGCGCTAACCTACAGAATGGAAAGTGCTGTATTTCATTTCAAATAATGTTTAAATTTTATTTAGTCAGTTGAATATATTTATTTAAGAGTAATTTATGTTGTGAGTTGTGAGTAATTTATGTTGTACAACATCTATGTGGTTAAAAGATGATTGTATTCACCAAGACTGGCTTAAAGAATAATTTTTAGAATCCACTTCTGGTTTAAGTTGAAGCATGTCAACAATTTGAATGACAATGAAAAACGCTAACCATTTAGCTTAACTTAAGTAGACAAACATCCTGAAAACACTTGATTTGCGTAATTTCTGCAAAATATCTCATAAACACAATAAGCTCACCTTTATACATAAGTTGAATGATAAAGTCGGATTTAATTTCCTTCGCTTTCGATACATTAAAGATGAAATAGCTCAAGTAAAACATTCGTTCTCACTTATTTATTATCATAACTGGTTTTGGCAGTGAAGATCTTCAGGCTTCGAGAGAAACAAGTTACACATGTAGATTTCCAGCGCACGATCATAAACCCACAAATGATAAATTCAGTCGTGAAAGAATCATTGTTAGGCCACCATCAAGAACCTAGAAGCACCGGCGGTTTGGTCATCGTGTGCAGCTTATCAGAAGCCGTTAAGTGCTTCCAGGTTTCTAATGGTGGTCTAACAATGATTCATACATGACTTCAGTGTTTAAAAACAACGATCTCCATAATACTATAATGCAAAATAATAAATTATTTAGTTTTCCATTTTCCTAATCCTTCCACTTTACTTCACTTCTCAACATGGATGGATTATTTACGAATGTATATTTTGTAAAAATATATTTAATAGTTAGCTTTGATTCTTCAAAACTATTATGTGAGTACCCATTTACTAATTGGATGGAATATTTTTCACTACTCTACTCAACATTTCAAGTTCTATAAAAAAATTGCACTGAAAACAATTAGTATGCTGCAAATTGGATATTTGGGAAAATTTTAATATCATTTGTACAAATTCAAAAAACCTATTTAAATGTAGAATGCCTTCAACAAGGATTTAAAAATATTTACTTGAATTGAAATTCGGTACTTTTTCGAATTCCATACACAAACGGTGGTACAAGATAAACATATATATAAAAATATGTTTATGAAAGTTTTTAAATATTAAACAAAACTCTTTGAAGTTACAAAAATGGTTATGCATTTTATTTTAATGTCACATAAAATAATGTACATTAACTTAGAAGAAGAAAGAAGCAATTAAACCAGTAAACAAGAAAAAGTCGACTAGATTGTGTGTGCTATGATGCAAAATGTAAAAGACATTCGCAATATGTACACATAAATGACATTTATGAACTGTTTAATAAAATTAAAATAAATTAATGTCAGTGTATTGTTTTGCTTTGTATTCATGTGATATAGAATGTTCAATATTATAAATATTTTTTTGAAAAGTTTAGTTTTTCAATTCTAATGAATCAGCATTTATTATAATTTTTAATTAATGTGAATTCTTTTTACATAAAATTATTAATCATTCGGAACAATGAAATCACATAATAAATTATTTCTGAAGTAAAGATGTGAAGTTCATTGATTATTCTATGTTTTCAATTTTTTTTTGGCTCTTTGTTTCTATGCCTTGTTCCATAATACCATTCAGACATTAAATATCCCAATAATCTGGTGGTACATAGGTGTACAATTAAATTGTAACGTTATTTACCAAATTAAAAAGTTGGGTTATAGATGTATATAAAATGACCTTGAGCAATACCGCGAACAAACTTGTAGAAGCAAATAGGATCGCGAACGTACAGAAGCAACCAACTGTTATAATTATTGTATACACCTTAATTCGTAGATCCCCCATGGTAAAAACCAAGTATAAAATGTCAGTTAAATGGGAATATAAGTTGTTACAGCTTCATGAAGTTACAACTGCAAATCATTTAGTGAGTAACACCCTCACCAGTAGATAGATGATCTTAATATGAACGAATTAGTTGTCTAAACCTCTAAGCATAACTAAGAGGCATAACATAATGTTGTTAATATCTTGTGACTAGAGACAAGATGTATGCCTCTGAAATATTATCAAATACATGTTCATTACCTTCACTGTATTGGTCGAGATCTTTATTTCTGTAGACAAATATTCATCCAGTGTATCTTCAAGCACGATGGATTATATAACAACAATTTCTTCTCTTAGTTGCTTTATTAAGTATTAAAAAGGATTAATTTGTGTTTATCAGTAACAATAATTTAAATGAAAGTTTCAATCATTTAATATAAATTAGGGGTTTAGTAATCAGATATAAACACTCAGTTAGATAGTTAACATTACCAGTTTCAGCAGTTCAATCCGTACAAATCGAAGATATATATTATTTAAGTACATTATGTTTTCTGAAAAGTACAGTTACATTAAAATGTGACTTGAAATACTATTATTCTTAAATTACTGCTTGGCTGTTGATAAAATGATCGTATTTTACGATTTTTGAACTCTCGATAAACTAGGTTACAGTGTAAGAAATCAAAATTCAACAGCATTACTATTTATTGATCGATCAGTTATGAAAATCATTATTCTACTATAGTTAACGCTTTGTTCTAATAACTCAACGGTTACAACCAAGATCGTGAATAGGGGTGGCATGGGCGATCATATTCTTTTAGACTATGGGTACCTCTTACTGACGACTACCTAGTAGTACGAAATCTAGACTCAGGGTATTCTGATAACTGCCACCAATCTCTTTGACTAAAATTTATCTTCCAGGGAATAGAAAAAACTAATGATTCAAAATTAAACTCATATCCTAAATAGTTTAGCTAATGAGAAATCCAATACTGTTTAACAGTATAAATAAAATTAAAAGATAAGTCATATATTTGTTAGCGGTAGTAATGCATCACCTAATTACGGTTTTAAATTCTGACTAAAATTGATCATAAAACCTGAACTATGCTGTTATTCAATAATGCATGGTTCATAAAAATAATAATTAGTAGCTCTTATCTTATCTTATCTTGCATGACACTAATCGTCACCTAATAACGATGAGCCATAACCATTAAGTGACAGCAACACATTTTAATTCATAAACTAACACGTTTCGATAGTATGAATTCAAAATACTTTAAGTTCCTTTCAAATGTATAATGTTATTAAGCGTGCAGTCAAGTCTAATCTATAATTTAATATGTTGTTATTCTATAAATAATTATCCACGTGAAACCTATAGTTGGAATTTCGCTTACTGATAGGTGTATTCAAAAATGTTGACCACTGATTTAGCTTTTACATAATAAATTTTTTTGTGTACAAACTTCAGAAAAATTGTTTTTTTCATAAATACAATGAAATCAGTAGCTGAATCCTGTGACAAGCAGTATGAAAATAGTTTGCTTTTAGAATTCGTGCTTCATTTACTACGTAAATTAAATCAATTTATTTATTGGAAAAAATATAATAAAACTGTTAATGAATGTTGATCTGATCAACAAATATCAAAGATAGTGAATGCAATGGTATTTGGTATTTGCCTATTGATTTTGAAGTGTTGAAAGCGATTCGTTCGTAAAGCATCTAAAACTATTACCTTTGATTGATAATGTTGAATCTATTGCACTTTCGATTTTGTAGTCGGCTAAATTTAGTATATTAGTCGATTAAATCTTCGTGGTTATACAATAGCGTAATAAAGGAAATAATACTTAAGCGAATACCAGGATTTCTCCTAGCTTTACGTCCGTGTATAAAATATTTCAGTTTTCTATTCAGTTATGTGCACAAAGAATGATCATTGTTAATTAAGTCCAACACTACAATTTACAGGTGTACATATTTGCATACGAATGGCATACTTTTGCAGCTGATTCTAACTAACAACATTTCAAAATTAATTGAATTGTTGCTTTGACTGAATGAAGAACATTTATGGTAATTTATTGCTTTGTTCAACTTTTTCATAGCTTGAACTAACAAAAATAATGACATTGAATAGGATTTTCTGAGTCTCACATACTGCCTGATGCTAGAAACATTAGATCATTAAATCCTGCTACATACATTACATCTGTTAACCCATTCGAAAGCTGTTAATTCGTTGTGAATAAACAATACTTAAAAGTCCTGAAACCAGAATTAAAAGCACTTGCTTTTCTACAACGAATATGATTGCATATTGTAAATCTTTCTAAATAGATGGAATCAATTTTAGTAAATAAAACATAATTATCAAAGATTTACGACAGCGAATATATTTTCTAACAATTAATAAAACTTTCTCATCTTGTTTGTCATTAGTGATATACCATTTGTTTTATAACAACTACATTAATATTGACTTTGGAATTCACTTAAAATCTTATGATTTTATTTTTCATGATAATTAAGCAATATGCTTCTTGTTTGCCTTCGTTAAAAAAAATATCTCAAAACTAGTCTACTCTTCACAAAAACATGTTAACACATCATTATCGACCGTTGTCACTTTTGTTCCTAAAAAACCAGGTTGGAAATAAGGTCCGAATTTCTTATTTGATGGAATCAGAAAGAAATAAAAAAAGTAAAATAATTTTATTATAACAATAGTACTATGTGCATTTTTTCCAAAATGAAACCCTTTATATATAAATATCAGACGAAAATCAACCTAACAAAACATAAAAAATACTTTTAATAACAACACGTTTATCATCTAATATGCTCTCATTGACGTTTCAATAAAGCTTAAAGATATATAATTTAACGAATTATTTTTAAGATGCAGAAATAAAAATATAATCAGAACTGAACTCTTTACGGCAATTAAAACATATACTGAATAATAATAAATATACAAAAAGTTAGAAATTGAAAAATCGTATTCCTCTTTATCAAATAGAATCATGAACTACTGAAATGTGAATATTTTGAAAAAAAAAATCAAATTGTTTCTAAATATTCTATTGGCATTAGACTTCGTTCAGACAAATAAATAGTTGAATTGTTTAATAGCATTGGAAAAAGTAAAGCAGTAAAATTATTCACCGTCAATATTCAAACAAAGAAAGCAACAATTTCACCGGTTGCATATCAATCATACAACGTCGGACTTTTTAGTCAGTTTAAGGTTTAGATAGTTAATTAACATAATGATCAATTGTAATGTTGAATTACTAATAACTTTTAGTTACGGAAACAGCAAACATTATTGAGTTACACTAATGCCAAGAGCTAATTTTCGAGTATATATAAAGCTTAACAACATAGTTTTTTATGACGTCATTCCCAATTTTATTTGATCTTGTTATTAAAAAACGTCAGTGAAGCTGCATAGGATAGAATCCACTAACCAAAAAAAACCGAATATTACAAGTGAAAATATGAGTTCTTGTTCTATGATATGCTAACATTTAAAATAATCAATTTAAAAAACCAAAAACATTTCAAAAAACAGCAGGAAATCAAAAACATCGTAAACTTAAATACAAGGCCTTTGCGAATATCGAACTACCTTTAGTTATTATCTACATTTTGTTAAATAACACGACAAAAACTATAAGCTGTATGCTGTCACAAATTTTCTCTTCAATAAATAAGTCTCCAGTAGTTTTTGGTTACGCAAACATCAGCTTTTAGACAGACTGTGGTAGAGTTTTCATCAAATAGTAATATCGGTCAACAAGTAATAAAAATAGTTGCTTTATATTAGTACTAAAGTCTACAGAAAAGTACAGTACAGTAATGAAATTACAATTATTTCTAGTAATTTTGAGTAGCTGCTTATAGAACTTAAATCACTTTTATTTCAAAGACTATCAATTCCATTATGAGGCAAATTCAATGTAAAACCTTTTTGATTCATTTATATATGTTTAACGACGACATACTACACAAATGATAAATGAAATAAATTGAATGAACTATAGTAACTTTATTCATTATCATAATCAGTTATTAAATTACTGAGGTTAAACATTACACTATGTTAGGGAAACAAATTATTACATCAAATTATAACTACATAACCAACTTATTATCGTCAGCCTGATTTTCATAATACACTAATAGAATATATAATTGAAGTATCCGAAAGTTTGACTACTTTTAGTTCATCGGTAAATATACACTGCAAATATACATTCTTATGGATTCCTCTTGCTTAATGCGATGCTCTTGAAACAATGAATATTTTAGATGTCAGTTTCAAAACCATCTTTCAACCAATAAACAAACTATGAATAAATAAGGAGTCTATATAATTAATAAAATGGGTCAGTTCAGTAAAATGAGAATTTGTCACGAAAAAACACTGTCATCATTAGTATGATAATCATACAACGCATACTGTGTAGTTGATGTAGTTTCTTTTTTTTAACAATAAGTATCCGTTCTTCAAAAGTCGTTGAGTTGCTCTGAATAAGAAATACTAAACCGTCCTTAAATCATAATTAGATGCGTTAGTTTTTCTTCAATCGTACTTAATCTTGTGTCACTTCATAATGTGAATATATCCACAACTGTCAATTGTGCTAGTGAAATCCATATTACAGAGTTATTTATCTGAATTGATCTTCTTGTAAGATGACTGTCTTTGCTTATACGTAAAAGTGATTTCTGCTTATTCGATAATAATAATAATAATAAGGGGAAAACAGATAAGATAAATCTAATTATTAACTAACTAATCACTACAGAATGCAACTGGCCTAAAACATGGTGTTTGCGATGGAAATAATTTCAGAATAAATCTCACAATATTTATACCTACTAACTCCTAATCCTATTCAAAATCAGTGATTACAGTATAAAATGTTTGATTGATGTGAAGGAATAAAAAAAAGATAACTATGTTTTTACCTGTCTGAATCTTCAGCTTCAGAAACATTGTTTGAATCCACAGTTTTATCTGATACATGTGACTGCATACCACATTCTGACATAATAGATTTCATTTTTATCTGTTCCCCCAGGCACTGAAACAATTTATTTACATAAATTGGTTTATATTCATAAACGTATTTCTGTTACACATTCTGTCGTTAAATTACTAGCTCCATTATACAACATCAACATCAGAAACATGTTGCACAGTTGTGGTCTAATGAAATAATTTTGTCAAAAATTAATCCAATATAAAATCCATTTTGATGGCAAATAAAATAGTTTTTTAAATCATGTTTGTATATAAGAAGTTGAAAATTCATTGTAAACGAAAAAACAATATATATACATATATATATTATATATTATTGATGACAGTAACATGAATCACATATCTTCCTGTTTAATTCACTTTAGTCAAAATAATTTCTTTTAACTTTTCTTTTCCGTCCATAATTTATAAATTGTTTTCCTGACTTCCCAGTGTATGTATAAACAACTTATACCTGTCTACCATTTAGTGTGTGTGTGTGTTCATTTCCACAAATTTTTTCTTTATCTTTTCTGTTGTTGTTCATGCATTTGTATATAGGCTTCGTTCCTCTAGTATGTACTTACGTGTATACATATGAAAATAGACGATTCAAGTTTTTCTAGTTACTTCTTTTAATGTTATTGTTTTAACTCAAACAGAACAGTAGAATCACCTATACTAGAATTAAAACATGTAATCAATATGTGAGATATTAATTAGTGCTAACTATTATTATGCCATCTAATGAAGTTGAAAATTCAACCAAAATTTATGATCGTATGCCATGTGACTAAGTTCTTCTTTAACAAGTTTCAAACAACCAAACGTTTTTTGGGAATTATTTGCTGATGAATAATGTTTCAATAAAATAAATGATTTTTATTGGATGCTATTGTTTCTTCTCGTTTGCCAGCTATTTAACTTTTTTGGCAGTTAGTAAGTATAGGAAGTGAATGATTCTTTAGGTCAATTATATCACTAAAAGTTAATAGTTATTCATTTTTGAGATTCTCTCGAATAAAAGTAGATTTAATTTGAGATTCTTTGAAGGTTTACTAATATAACACATTTTTTTCTAGAAATAATCAATCGATATACAGAAAGAAGACACACGTTAAAAATTTCCCATAGTCAATCGACTTAAATTAAATGATCATCGACGCATCCTAATATACCACCACGACCTCAGCAGAAATGGAAACCACTGCTATGTACGAGAAATTAAGACCAGATGCAATATACGTATTCTGAGTAGACCGGTTGTTTACAAAATGTGTACACATCGTTTTCAATTATCTTTTTGCTATCCGAACAATTTATTACCGGTTTTTTACATCTCTTCAAAATACTATTATTATTCATTGCAATTCGATCTGCTGGTGGTAATCTCTGGACGACGCTTCACTGAATACTCCAGTTTGTGAGTGACATGCACAACACCATGGCTTTTAGGTCTAAACACAAGCGTTTAGTGTTCAGATCATTATAACGACGCACAATAATGTACGATTGTGACTTCTAATCATAAATGTTCCTTAAACCTACTCTACATTTTGGAGAAAATTTGTTTTTGTCTTAGTCTGCTTGGACAAAATGATCAGAGTTCTCTAATATGCAGGATAGATATGATAAATAATAATCTGAGAATATGAAAACAATATGTTTTGTGATTTTTTGCATCATTTAAGGCCACAAAATATCAAAAAACTATTAGTTAGATTTCATGTAAAGTATAAAGACATTTAAAGGTATTTCGATAAAATTGTGAATGAAAAACTCTTTAAAATCAACGTTGAATTTTGGTGAAAGTACAGCATAAACGTTTTACATTGTTTCGTAATCTTGTAATTCATAATCCAATGTAATTTTTATTATCAATAAAGTAATAAAACAATTACAATTAGCACTATGTAAATCATTTTCACATCATACTTTTGTTTTAAAAATTCGTTCCTCATAAAGATTGAACAAAACGTAAACTTGCATAGAAGATAAATTTTGACATAGACCTCGAAAGAATTCAATACGTAGGCAAGTACATTCAGCTATATATGGTTTAAATTTAATAATTTTAATTTAAGTGAATTATTAAACTTAACGATTACTAATTAAATACGGAATTACAGACATTCAATTAATATGGCAATATGCATTAAAAAGGAAGTTAACAAAGCTCACACTCTGATTGAATTCTACTTGACGATTCACAACTGCAACAATTAAACTGATTAGATTTTAAGCAATTAACTACAATAATTTTCAATCAGTCTACAAAAAACAAATAACAGTCCGACAAAATACACTTGAGTGATTCATTGAAAAATAAAAGAATATTTAATATTGAAAACTGAATAAATCAATTTTGTCATAATGATAAATGTTCAGGTTGTTAAATTTTAACTAAACAAAGAAGAAATTAGGAACGAAAAATTACGTTTAGTAAAATAAGTTCAAAATTCAAAAATATAAATTCTTGTTAAAAACATTTCAATTAATGCTAGAATTGGATGACTTTTATTACGTGCAACCTTTGTATTGTGCATTAAAGTTTTCTATTATTCACTTTATATCTGGAGATGTCATTCTATGATATAACTCTCTTGTTATTATACATAAGTTTTATGAATTATGTGTTGTAGAACTCAGTGTGTGTCATGTTCAATAAACTGAATAGTTTTATTTAAAAAAATCGTTTAAATCTTTTGATAATTACCCGCTTAAATTATAGATGATGATTTTAAAGAAATGAGTTTATTCAAAGTGACGAAATTTTTATTATAATTTACTTAAATACATGTTATTCCATAAAATCTCATCACTACTAAAATCTACAGTTGTGACACTTTTGAATGAAGGCTTATGAATTTTCATTTGTAGTAAATCACTCAACACTCAAAAAAACTAAGGATACGTTTACTCCTTTCATGTATTGTATAATCATACCGTCAGCAGTCAGTGTGTATAAACCAATCTATTTAGTTAGAAACATCGATAAAATGTATGTTAACATTTTAAAAAAAGACTGAATAGAAAACAATCTAAACCATATCTGAGAAAATCTGTCGGTTGTTTTTTTCAATATTCATTAAACGGCTTCTGTTTTACACTAACATTTATTTAAATTGTTTCGACTGAAGCATGTGGGCGTTTGAAATTTGTTTTTTTTTATTTCCTCACGGCAATTTGAAAATCGTTTGTATTCAACTTAAAAACAATGTTTGCATAACTTGAAAATATTAAACATTCCGAAAAATATCTTCAGATCTTAACCGTGAACTTTAGTTATGTTTTGATTATTAACCTAATAAACATATACGTAAATTAATCAAATAATTTTACACAACTAAGTAAGAATTTTTATTCCGTATTACGTAATTGATTTGTAAATAGACAAAATGACCTTGGTAATAAAATTAAAATAATCATATCGAGAATGAGAATTTTACTTTTTAAATTAAGAAGATAGTGAGAGAATTCACTTCTTCTGAAATGACGGGACTAATCTCACAGGGGAGACTTGCTTAAGTCAGATAAGTTGGTATATTCGGAAAGATACATTTCACTTTGATTATTTCAAACATGATAACTTGGTTGTTATTGAGAATTCATAGAACCCCGTTCTTGTCAATCAAGGTTTCACTTGATCAGTGTGTGTTAGCACATGAACTCAGATCTGAACAATCAAAAAAACCTAACATCTAAGAATGGACGCGTAGAAAATAAACGTACATCTAGTGTTAAAAGCCGAGGAAAGTTATCATTCCAATCATCTCTCAAAAACAGTAATGGCTTTCATTCAATTGAGTTACATAAGTATTTTGTTATATAGAACTCCTTATAAGTTTCTAACTACGGCATCCAATGTGTCTAAAGCTTAATGAATTTAGTTATTTTTTAATTAATTGTCATTAGGTAACAGAACTGAAGTTTAAATTCTTTGGAACCGCTTAAATTTATCCCGAAAAGTATTTACGAATACAAACCGACATTTTTCTTCATACGTAGGTAAAATATTGAATGGTCAGTAGTTTTATATGTATGAAAGGCAGCGAAATCAAATCTACAGAGAAAGATATTAAATAACATTAAGGTCAAAAGCATAAACTATTAATAATCTTTTGTGACTCTTATGGATACAATTTTGTTTAGATGAAATTCTCTTTCCACTTAAATATATATATATATATATATATATATATATATATATGTAGTATTATTGTCTATTCTGTAGAGAACGATTTGCAAGATAATAAAAGATGCCGACGTATATTTTACTTACCTTACCATATAAGGTAAAATACATAATATTTTTTGAAGCTAATTAATTAGGGTGGTAAATTTCCATGTGACTTGATTACTGAGCTTTTTGTTGAATAAATTTAAATCATAATAGGCAAATTTCTTGGCTTATTGTTATTAAATAAATTTGAAATTTTATGGATAAACGTTTTACCGTTACACATCTGTATTTATGAATATTTAGTACTACATAGTTGTAATTTTATCCAGATTGATTTGTCTTGTGTTAAACGACTTAGCAGGTGTTTATTTACGCATCTGTGATTATAATCATTAGGAAGAAATACACAGAACAATTACCATAGTTTAGTGCATGGAATGATTAACTTTCTAGATTATTAATGGTAAATATTTTTTTCCCATCTGGAGTATACATCCAGATAAATTGTATCCAATACATACTAAAACAAATTGAAGTTGACTTTGATGAATTAAAAATTACAAAGTTCTTTACACTTTGCCGTATATCAGTAAACATATGAAGTCGGTTGTCAACTTGAAATCTTATTAAAATTAGAATTTTTTTACTCTAATTTAAATAATAGACAATAAAAATTATGGAAAAATATTTTGAAGTAACAGAATTCATTTATGTAGAACAACTTGAAATAAATAAAGTGTAATCTTAAAATACACCTGTATAATTAATTCAGTAAGTTTGACAGAAATTTACTTCCAACTCACAGTGTTTGCTGATTGAATCACTAAATTTTTTAAATTCACGATATATGTGCCATAGTATTGTGAGGATTTTATCTCTTTTGTAATACTCTTCATTAACACACATTTCGTAACAACAATTTTTTCACAAATCGTTCCTAGCCATAGTCAAAGAATGCTAGTTTATTAAACTAAACAGCTA